CCCTCCTGACATGCTTTTCCAGTAGAAGATGTCAACTTGTATCGAATCTTACTCAAACAAAGGATTAGATGACAATAATATAAATCCAAGTTGTCTCAAAGTCTAAGAAACACAGAACATGACCAAGAAAATGCGAAAAGTGAAAAATGACAAACAGCAGATCAGCCATTTCTAAAACTAGGCTCTCCCACGAAATAGATTCTTCAGCTCACCAATTTTCACCTCTTTGTCAAGTTTCCTTCTACCGCTTTGTTGTGCACTTTTTGCTTATCAATGCACCCGAGGGAGGACCAGTTACTGTTATAGTGCAATGGGTGTACAGCCAATAAGAATACCTCAGCACTCGACCCAAATTAGACCTTGCTCTGAACAGACCCTTCACGACAAAATTCACTCTTCCACTGCTCATTTGCCTCGTCAGATCTTGACTTTGGGCAATGGGAAGCCTAACTTGACTTGTGACCATGTGAATATCTTCAAATATGGATTGAGCCCTATGTGCCGTAAAGGGCTCAACATATCTCGTAGCTAGTAAGTTTGATTCATAATAAAGATCCATTATCGCATAACTGAAGTCCACACTCACTTTCTTGTTTGGATTGGTGAAGTTTGCTAGTATAGTAAGATCAGCATTGAGAAGATACCCCATGTCAAGATAGGCTGCATTCAGAGTTGCCGTTGAGATGTCGAATTTTGGAAGCCTTGGGCGATAGACTAGATAGATGATCAGCACTGCTAGACCTGCCACTATGACTGTGATCCAAAACAGAGTACAAAATGCAGCAATTATCCAGGCTACAGGTCTAGTCTTGCCTGTAGTATTCACTGGAACTGGAAGAGGAGATGGCCGCTGTTGGCCCTGCCCTTGTTGCTGCTCTGGCTCGTGCGGTGGGGGAATTTCGCCTCCGTGTTTACCATGAGGCCTGGTTTTGGGTGGAGTAACTGGTTGCGGCTGGTCATGTCTGGATGGACGTGGCTGGGGGGGGAAACGAGGGCGATGGGTATCATGCTGTGGATATGGTGGTTGTGGAAGAAAATGCGGGTTGGACTCATGCTGAGAATACATGGGCGGTTGTGGAGAAGATTAAGGCTGGGACGCCCAAGGTGATGAAGAGAAATGCTTTGTTCAAGGAAGACCGGAAGAGGTCGTGGACGTGGGTGGAATCATGAAAAGGCAAAGAATCAGAGATTAGTTAAGCATGCAAGGCAAGTAAAATCTTATTCTTGTTGATGCCTTCTTCCTTTTAATTTGGGACTATTCCTTCTTCTCTTGTAATGCTGTTCTCTTGTAGTATAATTTTAGCCTGAAAACACTCCTCCATGGTTGGTTAAAAGGAATATGATTGAGATCTAAGGATCATGACAAGATAGAAGGAGATCTTTTTTATTAAAAAAAAAAAAAGAAAAAGAAATTCGATTTTATATATACTAATTAAAATGGGTGATCAATCCGATTGAACTAATTAAAATTCGATTTTATATCACGTGAAACTCTTTTTCCGAAGGCGTGCGTGGGACGAAAATGAAATGTCGAATAGGATAGTTCAATTTAGTGCGGGAAGCCGTCTGCTTGGGAAGGTACAGCGACAGCCTCCCTTGGCCTTTAGGAAGGAAGGAACAGGTGTGAAATCATTTAATCCACCCTCTCTCCTATGCTCGCAATGATGACTGTGACCTCTCGTTTGGCCCGGGCTATTGTATTCATTTTGGCAGAGAAACGGACTTTTGCTCTTGATGGGGAGAAGAAACAACCCTGAGATCGAGTGCATTAAATGAAGGGAGAGTTGGAACCGGCGGCTAAACTTTTGTAACCGGATGGCTGGAGTTGACGGTCCATTCTGGCGATACAATACTTGAGCAGGGAAAATAGTAGAGAATAAAACCTGAAATTTCTTGAAAATGATTATATATTCTAAAAAAAATTGTTAAAGAAAGTTAATGTCCAGATTATATTCTTGAATTTTTTTTCGGTTCGATTAATGTTCACTCTTACATATTATAAACTTCTTTATTTAAAAGAAAAGATAAGTTTAGTATTTCCTCTTTTTTTTTAAAAAAAAAATAGTAGTAGTAATTGTGTTTATTTTAGCATTATGTCATTCATCCTTTGTGTTTGACTTAAATTATAACAAACTAAACAAACCATATATAAAAGGAAATATTAATTCAACAGAAAATAATTTCAAACTCGTACTTTGCAGCATAAACCTTAAATTCTAATTTAAAATACCATAACCAGAGCTCTAATGCTTTGGACAAATCTTTAATAAAAATTATAAGCAAATTCACTTTTTTGTGAAAGTTTATCTTAGAACTCCAACAAATTAAGTTCGATTCAATTTGGAAGTAAGCTAACATATCAACAAATCATAAATATAAAATGTCCAAGTTAGATGTTGAGAGAAATAATTAATTAGAATGAAAATAATTATTTAAATGTTAATACTTGGAGATTAAAAATACAATAGACGAATTTCTAAAGAAAAAATAGTTTTAGAACTTGCTTTTGGGAGTAATGAAGTGTTGATAGCCTTTGTTGAAAACGCGGATCTCTAATACAATAGCAATTTAAATTGTCATTGTGACAATGACAGTTTGACTTTTTTATGTTGATTATACTTTTCTTTTGTAATGTCCTTATATTTTGATTAGTGACTTCATTTAGGATTTTTAAAATAGTCACTGATTAACACACTTGTATTATGCTTAACTTACCTTCTTAATACATACATTTATAATTAATGCATTCTCTACATTTAGACATTTTTTTCCAAAAAAAAAAAAAGAGACATGAAACCCCGCTTAATGAGTGGCCAATTGAGCACTCAATAACCAAATCATTTAATTAAAGTTAGAAAACTAAAGGTTCATAATTAAATTCAGCTATTATCTAGTTCTTTTTTTCCCCTGAAACGGTAGAAATTTTTATTCATAATCAAGATGTAATTACATGTTGAGCAAAAGCTCAATTTGAGACACACAAAAGTGTACTAATACACTAAGAATCTAAGGATTCCTTGTCAAAAGTTATGCTTTGAGCAAGTTTGCTCAAGCTTTTAGTTAGACTACTACGTTCAACATCCAATTTATCAAATAAGCATTTCCTAGACATTGAGCTAAGATTGATGATGTCCTTCAGGTTTACAGCAACTTTAATGTCCTTTTGATGATGGCTTCCTAAGCAGGTTTAGGATTTGATGGGATTTGATGGCTATTATCTAAGTTAGGAAGGTACAAGTTGTTATATTAATTTGGTATAAAGAAAATGAGTGTTTTAATTAACCAATAATAAAAGTTGCGGGTAAAATAGTTGAAATTTTATTAAGTTGTTATAAATAGATAACTCAAAAGCTGTTTTTTTTTTAGTTTTGGGGGTGGCTACCCTCCCCTACCCCCATTGGCTACGTTATTGGATACAAGGTTTTTCGCCAAATGGAACTTGTCATGTAATTACAAGTACTCATTTTTCATTTTGAAGAGCCAATATGTCTATATTTTACTAGATCTCTCTTTCCAATCTTTTTATAATAAATTAAAGAGAAAATAGAATATATTACAAGTTGTAAAAATAATTGGAAATGGAAACAAGTTAGTGAAAATGTTTTACTGATGCACAACTAGTGGTCATGTAATGGCTTCAAATCTTGGTGTGTCTGCACTTTATTAATATCTTGCCATGCTCTAAAGTAGTAGTGTATATGGATGTTCATGTATTACTGCTATGTTTTAATTTAGGAGACTTTTTAAGTTTCACCCAACCTTAATAGCGGGGTATCGTAAATTACATTGAGCTATTTGGTAATTATTATAGAATTAAAAAAATTAGAGGAACACGAGATACATTTAACAATTTATTAATCACTGTAGAATTAAAAAAAAAGTAGGGGAACAAGAGATTAAGATTTGGGGGAGGATCAATGATGATGTACAATTTTAAGGGAATACTTTTACACTTTTTTGTAAAAATTTTGGGAGAGGGGGGGGGGGAAGTGTAATATTCAATAAAAACCTTAAATGTTATAATGGGATGCCAAAGGATATTTAAATTTTTGAAGAGCCAAAGTGTAATATTCAGCCAAAATCCCGAAGAGTCGATACTCAATACTACACCTGGTCACCGTCAGCCGTGTAATATGCGGACGCTCATTTTCACCATCGTTGCCCGGTACCCAGTTAACTTTCAATGGCCTGTACGGTCCAATAATTTGCCTAGTCATTTTGTCTGCCAATACGTGTCAGCTCCACATTTTTTTGTCCCCATCAATGATCATGCTCCGTTTTAATTTGCTGTTTTTGGATTATTTATAAAAAATTTTACTATATCAATATATATATAAAAAATTTTATTATAGATAAGATATTTTTAAATTACTTTTATTTATATATTACTGTAATATTATATATTTTTTTCTTTACTTTTCTTTTGTTTCACATGGGAAAGCTATAGAATTTGAAAATCCCAGCAACACTCTCTGGCATCGGTAGGTCCAGCATTTTCTCAAGAGGAAATTATTGACCGCCAGCGTGAGTAGCTAGCTACATTATAGAATCATTTGGCGGCAGAAGTGAGAACAGAGGGAATCGGCGCATATCACAGTCGCAATTCAATTATGACTCAACTTTTCAGACCTTGTGCGTTTAGAAAATCCATCCCACAGCCTAACACTGCCATCATCTAGCAATGTCTCCATCTCATTTGGGTAGACGCCGTTATCGTAAACGTCAATTCCAGAAAATGAGTTGGAGCAATTCGAAAGGATCAAAACTTTATAGATATTTATGCCTATTACAAGGCAATTTGCAATCGTGCTCTTTTTGTTGGCTGGCGAGAAATGAATATACACCACATGCCACATGACAATCCAAAGTCCAAACCTAAGGTGGTCTTGTCTTTCTTTTTTTTTTTAAAAAAAAAAAAAAAAATTTAATACACGAAGTCCATGCAAATCCCCCCGCCCCCACCTCCACACCCTCTCACCCAATTCGTTTATGAGCACCCGCCACATGGTCTTAAGACTCTGATTACTACTACTACTTTGCTTTCCACGCCATCAAGAGAAGAAGACGCAGGCGGGACACCTCCCCAAAAGTACAACCACCACCGCACACTGCCTAGAACCACGGCCCCCCGGCCCGGAAAAAAAAAAAATCTTGATCGCCACCGCAATTTCACCATGCAAGACAACAATTCTAAAGAACCCCTCCTTTTATCTTCCCCAAGGGAAGCTGACAAACCAGATGAAGAGTCCCAAGAATACCTCTTAGGACGCTCTAACATTTCCTTCGCTTCGTCCTTCGTCGCCGATGCTGACGACATCCCTCCCATCAACGGAGTCCGTGATTTCTTCCGAGAATTCACCATCGAGTCCAAGAAGCTCTGGTACCTCGCCGGCCCGGCTATTTTCACCTCCATCTGCCAGTACTCTTTAGGTGCCATCACGCAAACCTTAGCCGGACACCTCGGCACTCTAGAGCTCGCTGCCGTCTCCATCGAGAACTCCGTCATCGCCGGCCTCTCTTTCGGTATCATGGTAACTTATGTTAATACTACTGATTCTGTTGAGAGTTTGTCTAACGTGTGGTCAAGAGAAGTCCCAAAATTAACGTGTAAAAAGTGGATCATATTGAAAGAAGTGTATGTATCATTTAGATTCGACATGAATACCTCGTACTCAATCAATTGACATGGGTAAGCAAGATTTGCATGTTTTACTTATCAACAAAGAAATCTTTGCATGTTAAACAAAGAAATTTTTTTTTTCTCTTTGTGACAGCTCGGAATGGGAAGTGCGCTGGAGACGCTATGCGGACAAGCGTACGGAGCAGGACAGATTGAGATGCTGGGAGTGTATATGCAGAGATCATGGGTTATCCTCAATACCACCGCCTTAATCTTAATGCTTTTGTACATTTTTGCTGAGCCATTTCTGAGATTGATTGGCCAAACTGAAGATATATCAAGGGCAGCCGGGACTCTAGCGGTTTGGATGATTCCTCAGCTGTTTGCGTACGCAGCGAATTTTCCAATTGCCAAGTTCCTGCAAGCCCAGAGTAAGATCATGGTGATGGCTTGGATTTCGGTAGTTGGGTTGGTGTTGCACAGTGTTTTTAGCTGGCTGCTCATGCTGAAGTTTGGGTGGGGCCTGGTGGGCGCCGCCGTGGTTTTGAACTTGTCTTGGTGGTTCATTGTGGTGGCGCAGCTGCTTTATATCTTTAGCGGGACTTGCGGGCGAGCTTGGTCAGGATTTTCTTGGAAGGCTTTCCAAAATCTGTGGGGTTTTGTTAGGCTGTCTCTTGCATCGGCAATCATGCTATGGTGAGCAATTTCAAATACCAGAACTCATCTTTTATTTTATGGACTAATTAAACTTTTAAAAAAAAAATCATGGAAAGAACAATCATTATTATTATTATCATTACCGAAAATCATAGATAGATTGTAGGATTACGACTACTAGTTGTAGCTTCTTTATTCTGGGAGAGATATGAAATGATGTGGATAATAATAAGATGCACTGGGCATGAAAAGGTAAAATTTCCTTTTTGGGCATTCTAGAAAACTCCCAAAAAAAAAAAGATTTTGGGTACGGACAGTTGGGGTCTTATTCAAATAAACTATTATTTTTAGGTACCAACATTTTATCAAGACGCCCTTGGCCCTTTTTTCTTTTTTGCAGTCCGATTGTGTTTGGAAGTCAATCTAAGTCGTGAATCATGACAAGGGAACATTATGGGTTTTAAATTCGGGAGACCATAGAAAAGTGAATTATTAACATATGGCATTGCACAATCATTGCCGCAGAAAATAATGGAATGTAAAATACGACAAATGTATTAATGGATGCCAACCACCATCTCCGATGCGATCATCTTTTTACTTTCCTTTTTAAGTAACTTAACAGTTACAGATTGAATACTCCGTTCATTATTTACTGGTTGGTGAGAGTTGTTCAGAATGATTTCATATGCGCAATTGTATATTCTTGCTCCGAAGAGAAGATGTTATTGCATTCTTATTGTGCTATGTCATAATTAAGGCACCATCTTCTATTTCTTACATTGTGTTCTATTCTGTGTGTGGATTAAGCAGGGGTCTAGTTCATATGATTATAGTTAGCTTCTTCCGCAAAGTCTAGTTCATAGCAAGGCATGAAATTTCTGAAAATTCAATAAAAGCATCAAACCAATATTATTGTCTTTCTTGGAAGAACGTTATGCTCTAAAAAATTCCACAATGGTTTGAATTTCGGCATAATTGATGACACAATGATAGAAAAAGGATTAGCAGAGAATACATAGTTGTTGAAGATATAAAGGAATTTTGAAAGAAATCATAATTCAGTTGTCGATTTCTTTTTTCCTGTCCTTTGTTTAATCCTTGCCTATATAAAACAAATGTTTTTAGTCTCTTTATTCTGTTTGTTAAATGTTAACATTTCCTCCTATCCCTATCTATTAGATCTCTTGCCACGAATGTTCTTTTACGTGTTGGCCTTCATTCTATCACTCTTTCCGCATATGCAGCTTAGAGACATGGTATTTCATGGCATTAATTCTTTTTGCGGGATATTTGAAGAACGCTGAAGTTTCTGTTGATGCTCTCTCCATATGGTAAGAGTTTCTGCTCTAACAGAAAAATATGAAATCTTTTTTGACAATTTGAGAGTACAACTTTGCCTTGACATTTGCTTCTTAAAGTCAAAAGAGGGTCTAGTTCGAAGGGATTTGATTAGATTAGACTGACAAATAAAGAAATATACAGACGTATTTGCTTTCAACCTTCCTAATTTAGTCAGATTTGTGTCATACAGCCGGCGCCCCATCTAGTGCCAATTACGGTTAAAGACAGGATTTGTTACCGTGTCAAATTTGCATTATTTTCTTGACTATGACCAATTCACCATGTGACTATGATGGAATCACACGACTGTCTTTTGATATTCTTGGTTACTTGGCTGTCTACGTTGTCAAATACCAAATTCTTAATGGTATGCTATGTTAGGACAAAACATCGACTTCCATTTACCAACTTTCATTGCTCATGCTATTGATGTTTTGGTAAGTTTGGTTCTATTGCTCTTGGTAGTTACCACCCAAGTCTCCATTTCAGTCCATGACTTCTCCGCATATTGTTTGCCAGTTATGACTTTTGTTTTTATTAACTATATCCATTACGTATTTGATTTTGCCACGACAAGGGATTTGGAGTATGTCTCACCGCATAATACATAGAATTGGTAAGAACTATTACATCATTTTGAAAGGAGCAAATTACACTTTATCTCCCTGTGATTAAGTGTTTTTTTACATAACTCTTATATGGTTTCAAAAACTATATATAATCTGCTTATAGTTTGGATTAAAGTGTCAAAATAATGAAAATGGTCATTTGTAACCGAACTTTTACAAATGTCGAAATTATCCTTATATAATGCATGACACACTAACCCCGTATGAGTTTATGTTTTAACATATAATTCCTTTATGGTTTAATGCTTTACCATATAACTCTCTTATGGTTTTCAAAATATACACATAACCAGTCTTGGTTAATAAATAATTTTTAACTTTATATAAGGGTGTTTTTAACATTTTAGATGATTCCGTTACGAATGATCATTTCCGTCATTTTGATACTTTAATCCAAATCATGAAAGAATTATGTATAACTTTTGAAATCATAGGGGTGTTATGTAAAAAAAAAAAACTAAATCAATGGGGGTAAAATGTAATTTGCCCTTTAGAAAGTTAATAGGAAATAAAATCTGAAGGTCAAGATCGATAGTCTGAAATCAGGATGATTTGTTAAGTTTCGTTTTATTTCTTCCTCCTACCAACTGCCAATATAAGCATGCAATTAATGCATTTGGTTCGTATTATATTGTCTCAGCTAGCATAACAGTGCAAGCGGGCCTTAGATATCTCCAACAGAAAGTAAATCTACCTCCTTCATGTGGCAGACCATTGATAAGTTTTGTCTCCCACAAAATGTTGATTAGGATTTAAGGAGATTGGCTTGACCTGCTAGCTAAGACATGGCCGTTCAAGATGAATGGTGCAGCTTATTTGTATGTATATATATATATATATATAAAGGGATAAGTATTCTTGTTTTAATTCGAAATGAATTTCTGATTAGTGATAAATATATTAAATAGAACTTTCTAGCGATGATGCATTTAGTGGCAAGTTTATAAAGATTCGGTGGCTTGGAACATGATTTTTCGAAAGAAAATAAAAGATGTTAATATCGCTACAAAATTAAAGGACTCCTAATTCAGGATGTTGGCTTCAAGCTGGAAAGGGTCAAATAAGTGAAAAAGCACAAGGATCCATTTGCAAATGTTCTTCGTGCTCACTGTTTGAAGGGTCCCTGATGGGATATTTTACCAGCTGCATAAAAGGTTATCTAACCTTTTATCACATCAACAAATTTGACAAAGATGAAGGACATAAAGGTACCAATAAATTCCAACGGACAACTAAATAAGACCATCGACATCATCCTTTAATTAGATGGCAAGGTGGTTTGGGACCATCATCTTAATTGATTTGTCGGATGTTTTTCCACGGAAATAACATTACAGGGGTCTCTTTCTTGTACTTCTAGTCCAGTACATCTCATTTAGGACTTGGCTCATCAACTACAAGTCTAAATTGCTGTCTTATCTTTTTAAAGTGAACGTGGAAATAGTATTTCACTAGCATTATTGTTTGTGTGACAGTTTCTATTTTTTCCTTCCTTGATTAATGGAAGAGAGGGAGATGTTGTAGCTACTCATGTTGTCCTAAAACTGTTGAAATTTGCAGCACAAACTTATTGGGTTGGACAGTTATGGTTGCCGTTGGGTGCAATGCAGCTATCAGGTTCGTTAGCAGACGCTTCTTACCATTAAACGTTATTTTAATGATCCAGAAAGCATAATAATACTAAAATGAGAGAATTTTCCACAAATGATTGTCAATTATGTCACTGCAGTGTAAGAGTTTCAAATGAGCTCGGGGCAGCTCATCCAAGAACAGCAAAATTTTCTGTTGTAGTAGTTGTCGTATCGTCTTTCCTGTTAGGTGTCGTCCTTTCGGCCATTCTCCTTATCTTCCGGCAACAGTATCCATCCTTGTTTTCAAACAGCGATGAAGTTAAAAGCCTTGTCTACGAGCTTACGCCATTGCTTGCCTTCTGTATCGTTCTTAACACTATTCAGCCAGCTCTTTCAGGTGAATCTTTTATCTTCTCCCCTTTGATTGGAAGATTATCTTAACCCTCAACAACGCTGAAAGCAAAAAAAAAAAGATTGACAATTCACCAATGGCTATGCTGCAGGAGTGGCTATTGGAGCGGGATGGCAAGCTCTAGTTGCTTATGTAAATATTGCATGCTACTATCTGTTTGGCATTCCTTTAGGTCTATTGCTGGGTTATAAGATCAACATGGGAGTCAAAGTAAGTAGTTACACCGGATTAAGGTACTAGGATGAATTATATGACTATAGCTTCATTTTGGAGCTAATGGGCTGTTAAATACAATAATGTCAGGGAATCTGGTACGGAATGGTATCAGGAACGGCTGTACAAACCGTAGTCTTATTCTGGATTGTCTACAGAACAAACTGGAATAAAGAGGTATGCCAACAGTCTCTCAAGCTGTTCTTTTGTTTTTCAAGTTCTACAATGAAAAAATGCATGCAGTTTTTTTTCTTTCAACTACCTTTTATGTCCCAATTGAAATTATTTTATATAAAAAAAAGGTGTATACTTTACATTTTCACAATTCAGGGCCATTACATGGAGTCGAAAAGGGAATTAGTCCTCCTTATTATTGTATTCTGACGTTCTTGGTACGCAAATACAGGCTTCTGTCGCTGCAAAAAGAATACAACAGTGGGGAGGGGAGCCAGACGCCAAAGCAAATGATGTAGAGACATGAAAATTGGATTCATCTAATATCCGGTCATCGAGGTTTGCCACGGACGCGTGTGTGATGAAATTTTTTGGAAGGGTCCTTCCCAACTTGGCTTCCACAGGCGGCCAAGAGTGATGTAATCTGATGAGCAGTTGCTGCTCAACCCGATGAAGTATCTCTTTGATGGTTTATAAAATTTTGCCGTTCTTAGGAAAAAAAAACCAGAGTGTACGGTTGTAACAAATACCAGAATGTTTTCTACCTCGAATTTTTCCTTTTGTTTTATCTTTTTTTTTGGTTCAAGGGAATTTCAAATCTTATAAAGGAGAAGGGAATTTCAAATCTTATCAATGCTTGCTGCAAAGAGCTCTAAGCTGAGTCTTTCTAAACTTTCCAGATAAACTTGGGCTTTTAAGAAAGCCCCATTTATAGCTGTCAACTATAATTTTCCTCTTAAATCAATTAACTAGGGAGGGTGTTGTGAATATCAAATAGGATTATCCTCCAGAAAAATAAAAATAAATCAAATAGGACGTCTGGATACTATTTCCCAGTGTTTGGTCTGCTTCCTTTGTGATTATACTTTCGAACCAACCAGCCGCAAGGCCATAGTCGTAATGGTTGGGTTTCTGGTGTTTCCCAATCAATCCTAGAGACACTCGGAGTCTCTTTTGGTGTTGCGAGGACTAAAACCAAAGGTTGAACTTTGTTTCTCCCCAAAAAGTCGAAGTCGGGCAGCTTTATTTCTTCTAGAGAAGCAGAAATTCAGATGAAAAAAAATCCATTTCGTAAGCGATAAAAGACTGATCAAGCAACACAGCAATAAGAAATGACAAACAATATGCAGGAAAGCTTTCCCGTGATTTTAAAACATACAATCCGATAGTTTGTAGTTTGAACTAAATTGATAACGTGATGGAAATCGTCAAATTAACATGGGTAGACGAAATGACAAAAACATCCTAATATATATAAGGATAAAATGCAGAAAAGCCCCACATGATTAAGTCAACTTATAAGAAAGTCCCCTGTAATTTCAAAAAAATATAATATTCATCCCTTTTATATATAAGACAATTGTTCTGATTTGGTTAATATCTGTTTATGGGATAACACCATGATCACAAAAAAACCCGCGATCATCCATTGTACACGTAAAATGCAACATCCCCTTTGATGGTTTTTTGATCTCGATAATTTTTACTTTTATTTTTTATGAACACTCACAAATCTTGTATTGATATCGTAAGGTTTGGTTTTGCTGTCCGCTCGAGAGCTTGAGAAAGATATAAGCAAATATTTTGCAAAATTTTCCTTCACTTTGTGCAAAGAAAAAGTATTCAAATTCTTACTTCAACTTCTTAAAAAAGACCCTCTAAGATAATATTATAATAGCAAAAATCTAAATTTAAAACTTTTACCATACCCCAAAAATAATGTACGTAAGACTGGTGGTTGATTTCCTTCAAGAAGATTTACTCTCTTTTCAATATATTTTCTGAAAGGTTCAGATTAAATCCAACATATATGTTTCAAAAATATAGAAGGTTTATCTGTAGGTTGAGTTAATCACAGGGGACTTTTTCGTAAGTGGTAGGTATATTAAATAAAAATTAATTATAAAAAATTGTTTTCAAGTAACACTAGTTGCAAAACAAGCATGCGTGCTTCAAACACGTTAGTTTTGATAATTTTCGTCAACTTTTTAATTTAGTTCAAATCATAGAGTATCAGATTATATGTTTTGAAATCACGAGAACTTTTCTATATGGTCGCTTAATCACAAGTGATTTTTTTGCTTTTTACCCAAGTATATTTTATCGGGTGCTTAACAAACAACAAACAAGCGTTGCTTAATAAACAATAAACAAACGTTACACGACTCTTTTCTGTATACAGGAGAAAAGCGAAATCCCAATCCGAGGATCTGATTGGCTAGTTAAATTTTAGTGAGCAATACTCTGTCCCCGCAAGTCCCCGAAACTCAAAGGCGATGGATTGCTCGGGCCCACTGCCGAGGTTGCTCCGTACTCGTTGGTTGGTGCTCCTCGCTCACTTTTCATCCCACTCTGCAGCATGGAAAACTGAGATATCGCATTCAATCGGAAATGGGGCAGGGACGGTCAGCATAGGCCTGTCAACGGGTCGGGTCTAGACCCGGATCCGAATCGGATCCGTGAAATTATTGCGGGTATGGGTAGGGATTTAATTCCGTTTCTCGGATTCGGATCCGGATCCGTTTTGTCAAACAAAAAAACGGGTCGGATACGGAATATAGTATTCCGGCCCGTATTAGACCCGGATCCAGATATAAATGAATTAATAATTTAAAAAATATATATTTATCAATATAATTTGATTAGGGTGATGTATTTTAATAAAGTTAATTTGATTTCTTTTCTTATTTGGTTTTTTCTTTGCATTAGTTAGAAATTAGTTTACAAATATATTTTTTTCTCATTTTTATTAGAAATTATAAATTTTGCTAAATTTGTTCAGGTAGACCCGGATCCGGATCCGGATCCGAGACCCGCCGGATCCGGATCCGGAACATAGAATAAAAGACCCGTCGGGTAAACGGGTCGGATCCGGATCTGGCATAGTAATTCGGGTCCGGAATAATGAATTCCGGCCCGGACCCGGCCCGTCGACAGCCCTAGGTCAGCAGTATGACCGTCCCTGAACGGTTAATGGCCACGATCTGATCTCAAAAATTTGTGCGGCTGAGATTACAAGTTGTAACTCGATTTTCACGTCATGTGTGGGTCCCACAAAAATTTACTCTAAAGTTACTTGATGTGCAATAAAAGTTACACGATGTACAAAGAAAGTTACGCGCAGTTAAAAATGGCCAAAACCGTCCGGGAGGTGCAACCGTCCGTGCCCCGAGTCCCATTCACTCCTCTCTGCTGTATTTGGCCAGACCTCACTGCTCCATGGTACTGAGCAGTGAGTCGGTGTAGCATTCGAGAGATTCTGCAATGAGAGCCGAAGTTACATCAAACAATACAGTGTTTAAAATCGTAACTCTTAAGAAATTTGAGACTTGTTATTTTGTCTAGGATTATGTTAAGGTAGGGATCAGAAGTCTCGCAAGTTCAAACAGCTGTTGCTTGATATAAAACATACAACTTTTGGTGTAATAATCAAATTAATTGTATGAGTTGATAAATATAAATTTGCACCAAAATTGTATAAATTTACACTAAAAATTATAATCATAAGTTTTACATAAATTAATTTGACCTGAAAAATTTTCAACTTGTGAAGCCCTGATCTGTTAAAGTAGAACTTGTTCACCAAAAAAAAAAAAAAAGGTTAGAGTTGACTCCCCAATTAATTTGAACTATTTAGTCTTGGTAGCCCGAACTCGAAGGGGCTTTTATTGTTGTCGGTGCGACTACGGACACAGTAAGGTAGGTAACTTCCTCCGCAAAAAACTTGTTTAATGTAACCCAAATTCGATAGGAGGGAAAAGAATCACTATGCCTGGTTTTTAAGTTCAAATAGTATAAAAAATGTATTGCCACTTCGCAAAATGCTTGCAACATTGTTTTTTTTTTTTTTGGATGCAATTTCGCATACGATACGCTGTGACGTCAATAATTGAATGAAGCAGTAGTTGTTGCATATGCTGACATTTTCCAGCATTGAAACTAATTAGTAACTCGTTATGATAATATTTTCAAACAATCCGGAACGCTTCATTCAGTTCAGAATCGTATTTTAGCTTAAGGGGTTTTGATATAATTAAGTTCAAAGCCAAATTTACATGCAATGAAATGCTACATCTCTAAACGATACTTTCCAGTACTAATCTCTGTGTAAAATCTCACAGACCTATATTTGTAGTTCCCCGATTTGCTAATTAAGCCAAATCGTGGTTCATGTCAAAGTAACACATATATATACACGTTTCTACACGAAATAGTATCGTACTATTTAAGTAAATTTAGTTTATGGGCTCACTTGTAAACTACAGAACATGTACAGCATATTCCATCATATCGTGATACCCTCCTGGTTCCACCAATTTATGCCTTGTTTGGATTGCTTGTTTCCGTCGAAAAATATTGTCGTTTTCCGTGATCACATTTCCTTATCACCTTTTTCCTTCACATATATCAAATCGCTACAGTAATTTTTATATGAAAAATGACGGAAAATGCAATCCAAACACAACCTTAGTTTACTGGATTTAAGTGCTTTTGTTTGATAGTTTACTCCCAAAGTTATTAGACTAATCCGAACATAGGGCATTGCACTTATGACTATAGCGTCACAGATGATAATATGTAAATAAAGTAGAGTGAGATGTATCATAATGTAAAAAATAAAAACCCCATATCATATACTAGAACTATGAGTTACAAGTGAGATCTCGTTTTACCTCAAAAAAAATTTTTTTTTTCCTTAGTTTAGGATTGAAAATAGGTTGGTTGAGAAATGCGTGAAACAGGCTTACAATAATTGTTCCTACTAAACTCCATCTATAGAGAGAGCCACGGTCCCCGCCGACACGATCTTTCCCACAAATCATATCTTTTTAACTCATTCGCTATTCGCCCACCAAACCCCTCCGTATCTCTTTCTGTCTCTCCCGATCGATCGAGCTATGGAGGAGGCAAAGGTGCCACTTCTCACCAACATAGACCGTTACTGTCATCCAAACGACGACTCCTCCTTGCAAGCAGCCTTCCACAAGTCTAACAATTTGTCATTTGATGCTGATGAAGATGATATCCAGCCCATCAACGGAGCTAGAGATTTCTTCAGAGAGTTCGCCGCTGAGTCCAAGAAACTGTGGTACCTTGCTGGTCCAGCCATCTTCACTTCCATCTGCCAATATTCGATTGGCGCCCTGACTCAAGTCTTTGCCGGCCAAGTCGGAACCATCGAGCTTGCAGCTGTTTCAGTGGAAAATTCTGTTGTAGCTGGATTTGCTTTCGGCATGATGGTATTACTATTATTGGTCTTGTTATATCCCTCCCTTTGTCATGATTTTTGTATTTTTCTAAACTATTTTAGGTTGGTCATGTCGTCGTGATATTCCCAGAGTCTTCCCAATTTCTTGGAAACAGTGGGATAGGAATTTGGAAAGAATAGGCTACAAAAAATGCCGATAGTAATAGTCAAATCTCAAATGATCATTATAAAATGGCAAACAAAAGCTATGCAGTATATGACAAGAATATTGTAACGTCAATGTAAACTGCAAACTATTATGCACTAGGATTTATGATGGTTTAACTTGGATCTTAGTTAAATGACTTTTGAGTTATAAACATGTACAGTTGGGAATGGGAAGTGCACTGGAGACCCTTTGCGGTCAAGCTTTTGGGGCTGGGCAGCTAAACATGCTCGGAGTATACATGCAGAGATCATGGGTGATCCTAAATGCCACGGCTTTAGTTCTAATGTTGGTTCAGATTTTTGCGGCCCAAATCTTGAGACTCATAGGACAAACACCAGATATATCGAAGTGGGCTGGGACATTTGCTGTTTGGATGATTCCACAAATATTTGCCTACGCATTCAACTTTCCAATCCAGAAGTTCTTGCAAGCTCAGAGCAAGATCATTGTGATGGCCATCATAGCCGCGGTGGCTATAGTCGGCCACGCCCTGTTCAGCTGGTTGTTTATGCTGAAATTGGGGTGGGGTCTGGTGGGTGGGGCGGCGATGCTGAATGCCTCGTGGTGGTTCATAGTGGTTGCGCAGCTTGTGTACATTTTCAGCGGCACCTGTGGTGAAGCTTGGTCTGGATTTTCGTGGAAAGCCTTTCAAAATCTATGGGGTTTTGTCAAGTTATCTCTTGCATCTGCAATAATGCTCTGGTGAGTACTTGCAAACTAATTCCAAGTTTTCAACAGCTCCTCTAACTCATCCATGCAAATCTTACTACGTCTACTCTTAATCCCCCAAAAAAAAAAAAAATCCTCGAGTTTTTGGTCCTTCAAAATTCATTTTCTTGTTGATTTTGATTCTTAAAAGAACTCTATGTAGTGCAAAATCATTATTCATACAAAATCTGTTTTGTTTACTTTCATCGGAGCCGGATTTTGTTCTTCAAAACCGTATTTTAATAAGTAACTAGCGCGATACGGAGTTGACCGCGCGTCTTTTGTCTCCTGTTCTAACTTCTAAGATTTTAGCTCGACAGCGAACGCATTTGTCGGGATTTCGTATACAGAACAAGTGATGAGTACAATATTATTGCCGAACGTAATTGTGTAATGAGTACATACATTTAAACTCGTGCTTGGTGAGACGGTTCCCCAAGCGAATTTGACTCTTCTAAACTCGTGTTTGGTAACACGGTTCCACAAGTGAATTTGTCGATCTCTCCTAAACTACTAACTGGGGATTCAGACCCAATCTGACTTTTCCAGTCTGAATGGGCATTGGTTGAATTGCCTTTGAGATCCAAAATTCACGTACGTGTCTCTCCATGGTCTTCAACTTCATTGTTTGTGGTGCTTATTTAGTTAGGGATAGTTAACCTTCCTTTAGGTGTTTGACAAATTCATCTAATTTTCATGAAATTTTAAAAATTACATATATCTCCCTTGAGTTTATTTATTTTGGTAACAATAACCATTCAATGTTCAAAATTTTAAATGAATAATCCAAAATGCTCTTATAAAATTGTGAAGTTTATTTTACTTTTTTATAAAATTCTTTAAAAAAAATATAGAACACGCATAAAATCTCAAATTTACTTTCAACCATCATCCCTATTATATTAAACCTTTCATATTCTCATATTTCAAATTAGTACCATTATCACCATGATTACCGCCCCATCAGTTCTTAAATTCTAAAACCTCAATCTAAGTTAAAAAAAAAAAAGAGAAAAAAAATCAGCATTATTAAACTCAAAAAATTTCACCAACTACATTAATGTAACATCTTATCCCTCAAATGTTGGGGTACAAACACTAGCTCCATCCTTTTTAAACCTTCACCTTATATCTTCTTCCATTCATCTTCAAAATCCTCCAATTAAAACTAAAATTAATTTGTAATGTGTTAAAATTGTGTTTAGGACATAATTGGTTTCATACATGAATCTTGTCTTTGTTTTCATTAAATGTTTGATTGTGTGATGCATTCATATGCATATGATTAGGAGTGGGTTATTTGATTGCCTGAAAAAATTAATATGTCAAGGTTATTATGGTCATTTTATAGGATCGAGGGAGGCGAGTGTAATATTGAAAATCTCAAAAGCACTAGGTGAAATTGTTAGAAACTTCGAGGGAGATTTCTGAAATTACCCATTTATTTATCATGTTAGTTAGCTGCGGTGTCAATTCTGACTCGTTCAGTCAATTCTGACTCGTTCAGTCAATTCAGATCCACGATGGCTTGGGCTTATAAATCATCGTCCACCATTTTATTGCACAAATAGCTGTGTAATACTGAAATATCCTTGTCCGTTCCTGAGTCAGTTGCCGTATGGTCTAGGGAGGGCAACGCGGGCACCCGCCCCGCGGGGTTAATGGGGAGGGGGTTGGGGCGGGAACGGGGGCGGGGGAAATATTTCCCCCCCGCTTAGAAACGGGCCCCGCCCTATCCCTGTTCCGTCACTCGCTTTAAAAAAATAAATATATATATAATATATAATTTAATTAGTTACAAATTTATGATAATGATATTATTAGTTATATGTATTATATAATGTCTATTAGTATATATAATATAATTGATATTATTAATTATATTAATAATTATATATGTGTACTAATACAAATTATTAATTGGTTATACTAAATTTACTAATACATTTATACTAAATCCCTAATTACACTTATCATTTGTATTAATTTTGTATAATTTCAGTGTAATTATAAATTTTATATTGAATTAATTGTATTAATGACAAATTCAATTACATCAACCATTTCAAATTGGACAGAATTCAACTTGTGAGATCTGTGTCTCTTTTCCTATCTGAATTTACTAGGAAGTTATTGAGTGAATTTTAATTGAATACAGTTATAACTGTACTCCAATGTTCACACAAGTAAAATTGATATAGAATGGCGATGTAATTATGTGGCTATATAGCGACAGGAGATTCAGATTATTCAAATTATTCAAATTGTTGGACCCAAAAGATATTATTGACATCTTCTAAATATAGCTTAAAACAATTAGAGTTTTGATCATATTCCAAAGACTAGAATGTTCCGTTTTGGTCAGATCAATGATGAATTAATAATGCCGTCCAACAGTCCAGAATAACACACGCATCCTCAAATTGACAATATAATTTATTATTCATGTAATTTGAATATTTAATCTCAATTTAATCACTGTCCACCGGCCGTAACCTTGCAGCTTGGAATTCTGGTACTTTACGTCATTAGTTCTATTTGCCGGATACTTGAAAAACGCTGAGATTGCTGTGGATTCCCTCTCCATATGGTGAGTAGCTCTGAAACTTGACAGGCATAGCCCATGTGGCCAGTTTAATCAATTGCTCAGCTTTATTGTTGTCGCAGCATCAATGTACTCGGTTGGACTGTCATGGTCGCTATTGGATTGAATGCAGCCATAAGGTTAGCAAGGAAAGGAAAAACTTAATACTACTACCGAAATGCTTTGATTGTTTCTAGAACAAGGCGTCAATCATTTACCTTATTTTCGCTAAAAATAAAGCTCATCTTTTTTCTTTTTTTTGGAATGGTTTTAGTGTGAGGGTGTCCAATGAACTGGGAGCAGGACGTCCAAGAACTGCGAAATTTTCAGTGGTAGTGGTCACATTAACCTCGCTTGTAGCCGGAATCTTGCTTGCTCTGGTTCTGCTTATCAGCCGAAAGCAATACCCTGCTTTATTCTCCAACAGCGAGGAAGTTCAACGATCTGTATATGACCTAACACCTCTGCTAGTTGCCTGCGTCATTATTAACAGTGTTCAACCTACTCTTTCGGGTACACCATTAGACTCCTACGATGGGTTCTGAAGAAAAGTTTAACGGGTCTGTTGATTAACGTTGTACTATTGCAGGAGTGGCGATTGGAGCTGGGTGGCAAGCCTATGTGGCTTGTGTGAACATAATTTGCTACTACGTCTTCGGCATTCCTATTGGTCTAGTCCTGGGATATGTATTAAACATGGGTGTCCAGGTATATGGCTAGCTCGATCTTCCTTCTCCCATGGCCTTATCCAATTAGTTGACTAAGCTTTATTTAATGGTAGCATCAGAGGTGCAAGCTATATACATACTTGTGAAAAGGTTTCATATTGTGTAATGACTTTCAGGGCATCTGGATCGGGATGCTATCTGGAATTACAGTTCAAAGCCTCGTCCTGCTCTGGATGATCTATAAAACTAATTGGGACAAGGAGGTGAGCAAAACTGCCCCGAGCATGCTGTTAATACCGGGAATTACAAACACCTTTTTATTTGCGCATGCACAAAAATAACACCATATATATATATATATAGTTCAGAAAGTTCTTGTATCGAGCTTTTAATTTTCAGCATCCCATCAACTTTGTGACATGCAGGCTTCAATTGCCAGAGACAGAATAAAACGGTGGGGAGGAGAAACAGATCCCCAATGACTTGATGGAAATGCCAATAGTTAAGAGCCTGAGTCGGATATCAGCAATGGATAGTGTGGTGACTTGGGAAATGCATTTTATTAAACATTTACTTGTGTGGCAACTGGGTTAAGCTTATTAATCTAAAAAGCCTATGCTTTGAAGCGTGTTTAAAGTAGTATATATGTCTACTAATAACAGGAAGTGAGGTTCATACAAGACGACCCCCAAGAATTCAGTTTGGATGCTGAAGAATCCATTCCTGAAGCCTTCAATAAGTTCTTGACTTTGTACCCAAAGTTCCAATGTTCAGAAACAATTGATCAATTGAGACTTGACTTTGTACGGGTTGTTTTCTTATTTTCAAACGCTACATTATTGGGATTCATCTGCATTTCGCTTAAAGGAAATTACTGCAAAGCTAAAGCCTGCGCAACAACCGCAAATTGAAAGACAAAACCAACTTTACAATCTTAATTCTTCATCACAAAATGCTGTATCTCTCACCTGAAACTATCAATTAAGCATATCCTTTTAACTCATAAAGCCTAGGCTTTGGTGTTTTGTATCTTGATAAGAAGGGCAGAAACAAAGCATTGGGAAGTACCAAATAGCATAAAGGAACCAAACTGTAGCCAAAGAAATAGATAAATGCTTATTTAGAGTCAATTGGACACTTTCTCAAGTTGAACAGATTCACTAATGCCACAAAGAGGCCTATTCTTCACAAGAGCAATAACTTCATCCACTTAACCGCTTGTATCAAGCTCTCCTAAAAGCTACGGCATCTTTGAATGGTAGCAGTGAAAAACTAGAGCTAATTGAGAGAAAACTCTACTTGTAGTTCATCTCTTTCCAGATGTACAAATGTAAGATTCAAGATCTTTTTTAGACCAGAATTAAGCCGTAAGTCATCTCAAACCTGTCAACATCTAATCTCTTTCAAGGCTAGAAAGGTTGAGAACCAATTTGAACATATTAAATTAGTTGATGAATCAAAAATATAGAAAGATCTGTTGAGCTTGGAGGTCAATCAAAGGATTGTCATTTATCAACAACAGTAAGAAACAAATTTTTCTAATGTCTGAGAAAATGTAGCAACCAATTTAAATCTGCTTCTGCTTATCCAAGCCCAAAAGCAATTAACAAAGTCAATAATTTCAACAGACTCCAAACTCAGAAACACATGGTGGAATTGAAGGATCAAATGATACCTACCAGTTCTTTTATACATTCCATACAACACAAAGCTAGCATACACAAAAAGTTGAAAGATACAAAACATTAAGATATCTCCATGAGGATCAAATGATACCTACCAGTTTTTTAATACATTCCATACAACAAAAGGCTAGTATAAACAAAAAGCTTTGGAGTGTTTCATATATAAAAAATCATAAGAAAAAAATTACCTTAATGATCTTCACTTACAGGAATTATCTATAGATATTCAGAAATTTGATGAAGCTCTTAAGAAAATTTTTAAGTTTTTCATTTGTTTAATAATAGGCACTCAATTATCTTGTGTTGTGTTAGGTTTACCTGTTGTTTGGTTCCAGGATAAAATATCAATTCCCTTATATTACTTGATGCTTATTATTGCTTTTTGTTTTATGGTCTCTCTGGGAAATATAGACTAAACAAAAAGGCCAAACTAGCTTGGAGTGTTTCTTACTCCTCGGTTCTCTGAAGCTGTTTTCGTCATTAGTCTTGGAAAATATGGATTTTTAAAAAGACTGCAATTGCAAACCCCCGTTGCTATTGCTATTGCCATTGCTGCTGTTTCTGCTAATACAACTGCTATTATCAATCGCTCCCCCACTACCATTACTACAAGCATTCCATTGCAGCTGCTCCTGCTTCGCCATTGTATCTTTTTTCTTCAATTTGATTTTAATCGGTTTGGTTATAGAGAATGGTGAAGATGATGAAGAGAGGACAGAGGTTGTTTGGGTTTTAGGGTTTTTTTTCTTGATAAATTGTGATTTTGGTTAAAGAGTTTTTATTTTTAATCGGTTTGGTTATAGAGAATGAACGGGTTTAAATTTTCTGTTCGGTTAATCGATTAATTAATTTAATATGGTCCGAGTTGGGTTGTTTGAGGGTTTGGTTTATTAAGGGACACTTGGCGAGATTCTAAGAAGTGGGACAGGATGTGACACAGGGTGTGGGACAGAAGATCCGTTCCGAAAAATCACTCCAATCTCAAATGGAACTGGGATCCTTTCCAATCTCAAAAATAGTAAATATTAAAAAGAAAGCAACGCAAATGGCCAAACTTCACAAATTTTATCAGGGCGCTATATATATATGCATAAACCTTTCAAGACTTCATCAGTTCATCTCTATTTGTAGTGCCTAGACATTATGGAGGATGGTGAGAAGCCTCTTCTATCCCACATGTGCGATGGCAATGGCCAACTCAATCCACAAAATTGCCTGACACCCCCTAGTGAGTCTTCTTCGAATTCATCCCTTTCCAAATATGAAGGTGAGATTGGTCCCATCAATGGTACCGGTGACTTCTCTAAAGAGTTCTTCATCGAAGCCAGGAAGCTCTGGTACTTGGCTGGTCCATCCATCTTCACTTCGGTTTGCCAGTATGGAATCGGGGCTCTCACTCAAATCTTTGCTGGCCAGCTGGGGACCATTCAACTAGCTGCCATTTCTGTGGAAAACTCTGTCATTGCTGCATTTGGTTATGGCATACTGGTATACATACAAACTTCGGAGTTAAAACCATTTTTAGTTGGTCCATGGTTGATGTTACTATATTCTATTCTCCATGTCCTGCTCTTGATTTTTTCCTCTACTTCGCTATCTTTCCTGAATTAAGTACTTCGGTAGAATATGTACTGAATCATATCACTGTGAACCCCTAAAATGCATTCTCCTTCTCTTGATTTTTTTTTTTGCCCTACTTGAGCAGTTTCCTTGTCTATTCTTCTTCTTCTTCACATCTTAATGTAGATTTTCCCATACAGATGGGAATGGGAAGTGCACTAGAGACACTTTGCGAACAAGCATATGGAGCTAACAGACATAACATGCTAGGTATTTACATGCAAAGATCTTGGGTTATCCTCAATACCTTGGCACTTTGGATACTTCCTCTCTTTATATTTGCCACCCCAATTCTGAAATTATTCTGCCAGAATGCATCAATAGCTAAGGAAGCAGGAAAATTTGCCTTATGGATGATCCCACAACAGTTTGTGAAGAGGTGATTTCTGACCGGCTTGAGTGAACTGAGAGTTGGAAATGCTACAGCTGAAAAGGTCACAGCGGTCTTGGTCACCTGTTTAATTTACGAGAGGGGCTGAATCCCCCGGTATAACTCCGAAACTTAAGTCAGTTCGGGATTGAAAAAACAGTTTAATAGTATAGAGAATCAGTGTATGATTTTACCAGAAAATTGGTCATCCCCATTCTTAGTGGAAGTATTGAGTATTTATAAAGGATGGACAGGAAAGAGGGACTGCCGGCACGGGTCCCTAGAGTTATGCCATGGTCAGTGCATCAAGTTGATTTGATGGGCTCCTGCGAAAAGGCGCGCCAGAACAGTTGTCAGAGTCAGGCGGCGCATGTGTCAGAGCAGCTTTGTCAGATGTCAGAGGTGTCAGAGGTCACATCCCACCTTTCCGGGGGTCAGACACTTATACGTCACTTCGTCTTTATGACAGAAGATCCTAGTCGAGGTGGTAACCGGGTCGAAGTCACTTCCCGAAATCACGACCCGAGGGGGATTGCCGAGGCGGTGGTTCTAGAAGTACCACAGGGTGAGGCCCCCGGACTAGCCGAGCTGGAACGACCATCCTCACTAAACCCCCCAAGCCTCGGGAAGGGCGAAATCATTGCCTCCCAAGATAGTTACTTCTCGAGGCTGACAAGTGTGTAAGACACGGAGTACAGCAAGGACAAGTCATTACTGCGTCGATGGGACGGCTGGAAGAGAAGTGAAAGGACGGTTGTCAGCTTTAATGACGGATCCATAGATGGACATGAAATCAACGGTCAGATGAGCAGTATTCTCATTAATGAGGAGAGAGGTCGTGCCCTCGAGAATCCCAAAGATATCGCCTTTTCATCTTCCCCCTGTTAGCCTATAAATAGGAGTCCCTTTTTACCGTTTCACTCTTTACCAGAAATCCAAAATCACCTCAGAGTTTCGCTTTTCTGTCTTTTCACTTCGGCAATCTCTTAAACCACATCTTCTGAGTAACTCCATTTCTCCCTCTTTAGTAATGGTTAGGACAGCTAGTACCCACAAAGAGACAGTGAGGCCCGACTTCACCGAGGCAGAGAGGCCCGACCCCTCCGAGGAGAGAACCGCTTCTGAGGTCGGGGAAGGGGGAGCCGAAGCGTCTCATCAGGTCGGGACACCCCAGGGACAAAGTGAGGAAACCGAGGTTGAAGCAGAGGTCCTCTACAACGATGACCTCGGCAACGAAGTTCCCAGGGATGAGGAGGTGCAAGAACCAGCCACCCCTCCGAACTTGGCGGCAATTGACTATGGCCAGGTCCCCATGTTCAGCAGCATAATGGGTCGAGCCCTAATTACCGAACTGATCCGTCAGTACCCCTGGAGGAGGGATTACAGTATCTATTCTTTTCGGCCGGACCAGTCAGCTGAACTCCCTCCCAGGAGTAGAGTGGCAATATACCTAGACCACGAGGTTTCTCCGGGACTGCCTGAGATTCTGGGGAGTGAGAATCACTCAACTCACTCCTAATGCGATCCGGGTCCTGGTCGACTTCCAGATGTTGTGCCGACATCAGGAGATAACTCCCACAGTTAACCTCTTCCGCCGGTGCTACTCACTCAAGAACAGTGGGAGTGAAAAGGGATGGTACTACTTCGAGAACAAGGTCCCGAAGTTAGTGGTAGATGCACCCTCTTCCATCAAGGAGTGGAAGAGGAACTTTATATTTGTCTCGGCTGATGACTTCCCAAGAGGGTTCTGGTGGAGGCCTCCCACCCCGGTCAAAGAGACCTCTCCGGGTAAACTGGAGGAGGGCAACTTCAAAAAGCTGACGAAGTCGGGCCTCAGGATCAACTGTTGGGATTTTCCCGAGACAGTTCTTGTTGACGGCGGAATCAGCCGAGCTCTCATCAGCCCAGATCCTCCGCCATTTTTTTTCTAATAGGCTTGAAAAACATTGTACTTCCTCGCTCCTTGCTTTGTTTGTTTTTCCTTGATTTTAACTAACTCTCCCTTTGTACTTCGCAGTGACAAAAGTGTCCGACCAGATCACCGCGGGGGCCTCCGGGGTAAACAAGAGGTCACCAATGCGCAAGGACACGGCAGAACCGTCCACTCGGTCGAAAAAGAAAACGACCCCGGTCCCAACCATTACGGCCACGGCGAGCCGGAGATCCCCCGTGATAATCACCGGGGAGGGCTCCCGCACCTCAGCCATTCCAGTCGGTGTGCCCATCAGAGGGTTGACAATAGCCTCTCCACCCCGGGGCAGGGGAACGACGGCGTTTCCTGAAGTCTCCGTGACGGGTTCTTCCCTGTTCAACCTCCATAACGTGTCTTCACAAGAAATCGAGGAGGATAAACGGCACTCCGGCGCGCAATGGTGTCCGAAGTGGGAGTTCAACGTAAATGATCGCTGCAAAAATCCCTTAGTCGCTCAGGAGCTCCTGGTCCATTCAGTTTTGTCAAGGGATAACACCTACGCCAGGAAACTCACTCAAGGCGAACTGATGCAAAGCGCATCCGTCAGTTGGGCCTCCACTACGGCCTTCCTTGCCGAACTGACTCAGCGCTATACCAGGCTGGTCGAAAACTATCAGCCTTCGTCCGAGCTTGAGAAGAAGGTTACCGAGCAGGAGGAAAAACTAAAGACGACCGAGCAGGAACGTGACAAGGCCGAGGCGGCGCGAGAGCAGGCCGAGGCTACCAAGAATTCCTTGATGACGGCCCTTGAAGAAGAAAAAGATAGGAGGGCCCAAGAGGAACAGTCAACTCAGGCGGCCATTGAGAAAGCAGGGACCTCTGCACTGGAGGCCTTCAGGAAATCAAAGGTTTCCTCAAGGACCTTGGCGAGCTCACATTGCCGAGCGTCATGTTCGGATACACCTCAGCAGTTCATGATGCGGCTCCCTTCCTCACTCCGGAACAGCTGGAGTCCCTTTACAACAAGGATAATTTTAACGAGAATGCTAAGGAACTGATCGACCGCATGGCCGAAGGCATCTGGGCCGGGAGGGACTTGGCCGAGGTGAAGGAAGAGTTTAACAAGTGGCTGTCTGAGTTTGATCTGGACGGGGCTGAACTCCATGGCGAAAACGACGGCACTGATGGCGGAGGTGGTGGAGCTGAGGCGACTGGGGACAACCAGGACGCCGGGGTAGGGAGTGTGTAGGTGTTAACTTATCAATCGCCGAGGTGACGGGTTCTTAGGATCATACCCGACCTCGATACTATGTAACTTATTCTGATCGTTAATATAATGACTTTCAATTTCTCTTCTTTTTTATTCGATCTCGGCTAATATACTCCGGCTAATATACTCGTTCTGTCCCCTTATTTTTCACTTAGAATAAAATAATATTAAGGGAGAAATAACAGATGAGTTGAATAACCAACAAAGCACATACTCTTCAGGGGTGATACATTCTGAGGTTCTCAACGTGCCAAGTTCGAGGCACCCGAGAACCATCCCGGTAAGCTAATTTACAGTATTCGTTTTGGCTGGATTCGACAACACGGTAGGGTCCCTCCCACTTGGGGCTAAGTTTCCCCTGAGGTTCAGCTCGGCTGACCGAATTTTTCCGGAGCACAAGGTCTTCCAGATTGAATCGCAGGTGCCTGACCCGGACATTATAGTAGCCAGGTAGGATATTCTTATAAAGAGCGACTTTGACCGCTGCCATATTACGCTTCTCTTCGGCGAGGTCGAGGTCGACTCGCCGCTCTTCTTCATTAATTTCGGCAGCATACGCGGCCATTCGCGGGTTTGGCGTGATGAACTCGGCGGGGACGACAGTTTCGGATCCATACGTTAAAGAGAACAGAGTCTCTTGGGTTGCCGACCTCGGGGTGGTCCTGTAAGACCACAAAACGCTGGGAAGCTCTTCCATCCAGGATGATTCAGCTCGATGTAGTCTGGTTTTGAGACCATGAAGGAGAGTGCGATTGAAGTTTTTGGCCTGTCCATTGGCCTGAGGGTGTCCAACCGAGGTGAAATGCTGTTTGATTCCAAGGTTTTCGCACCACGCCTTGAAAGGATTATCAGCCAACTGCCTGCTGTTATCCGAGATGACCACCCGGGGTAGGCCGAAGCGTCAAACCACGCACTTTCAGAAAAAATTTTGAACGGCTGACCCAGTGATGGTTCTCAGAGACTCGGTCTCGACCCATTTGGTGAAGTAATCCACCGCTACCACCCCGTAAGCGTAATTGCCTGGGGCTCTGGGGAATGGGCCGATTATATCAGTCCCCCATTGTTCGAATGGCCATGGCGAGGTGATGGGAATCATGAGGTTGGTCGGCTGGTGGTGCTCAGGGGCGTGGTGCTGGCAACCAGGACAGCTAAGGACCATGATCTGGGCATCTACCCTCATGGTGGGCCAGAAATACCCTAACAACAGAGTTTTTTTGACGAGCATCCTGTGGCCGACGTGAGTACCACAGAGTCCCTCGTGTATATCTTGGAGGATCTTTTGGCCTTCTTCTGGTGTAATACACCGCAGCCACGGGCCGAGGTAGGATCTCTTGTACAAGAGATTTTGTCGGATGGTATACCGATCTGCTTTACGCTGAAGCTTTCTCGATTCAGCTCGGTCATCAGGGAGCTCCCCCCGACTGAGAAATCGAATCAAGGGGCCCATCCAGGTGTCTCCGGGATAGACGGGGTACACGACTTCTCCTAGGTATCCCTGCTCGACTAAAACTTCCACAAGAACCGTCTTATTCAAGTCAGAAAACGAGGTAGAAGCAAGCCGAGATAAGGCGTCGGCACGCTTGTTTTGCGACCATGGTATCCTTTGGATTTCAAAAGACTCAAAGTGTGCGATCAACTGGTGGACCTTGGAGAGGTAGCGATGCATGACCTCTTCTCTGGCCTCATATTCGCCCAATATCTGGTACACGACGAGTTGGGAGTCGCTGTAGACCAAGATGTGTACGGCCCCGAGCTTACGGGCTAGCTGCAGGTCGGCGATGACCGCCTCATATTCGGCTTCGTTGTTAGAAGCAGCGAAGTCAAATCTTAAGGCATATGAACACACGTCTCCCTGGGGGTCTTCGAGGAGCAAACCCGCTCCACTACCCTCACTGTTAGACGAGCCATCCACATGCAGAATCCACCGCTGAGATTCAGCGGTGGCTGGGGTAGACTTATTTACCTCGTCGAAAGTGAGTTCAGCCAAAACATTCGCCAGGGTTTGAGCTTTGATAGCCGTCCGAGATTCGTAAGACAGGTCGTATTCTCCCAACTCAATGGCTCATTTAGTAAGGCGTCCAGAAACCTCCGGGCGTGATAAGACTTGTCTGAGGGGTTGGTCTGTTCGAAGGCAGATGTGATGAGCTAAGAAGTAGGGCTTAAGCCTGCGGGCTGCATGGATTAAGGCCAGCACGAGTTTTTTCGCCTGTGTATACCTGGTCTCCGGACCTCGGAGGACTCGGCTGACGTAATAAATTGGAGTTTGTACACCTTCTTCCCTTACCAGTACGGCGCTCACAGTTTCGACCGCGGCAGACAGGTACAAAATCAACTTGTCCCCCTGCCGAGGCGAGATGAGCGTTGGGAGGTGGTGAAGGTACTCCTTTAGTTGCTCAAAGGCCTGTTGACATTCTTCAATCCAGGAGAAGCTGCCGGCCTTCTTGAGAACCTTGAAAAAGGTAATGCCTTGAAGGCTGACTGCGACAAGAACCGGTTCAGGGCCGCCAACCGCCCTGTGAGCCTCTGCACCTCACGGATGGACCGGAGTGGAGACATTTCCTGGATCGTTCTCACTTTATTTGGATTAGCTTCAATGCCTCGCCTTGAGACGAGGTAACCCAAAAATTTTTTCGAGATGACCCCAAAAACACATTTCTTGGGGTTTACATCATTCACGTCTTCCGGAGGATCTCAAGGACCTCTTTCAGGTCATAAAGGAAAGTGGAGGTCGTCTGACTCTTGAGAAGGATGTCATCCACGTAAGTTTCGACATTTCGGCCGATCTGGGATTTGAAAGCTTGGTTGATCAGGCGTTGATATGTGTCCCCGGCATTCTTTAGTCCGAAAGGCATGGTGGTGTAGTAATAAACGCCTTGGTCTGTATAGAAGGCTGTCTTCTCCTGGTTCTCGGGACTCATTCAGATCTGGTGGTACTCCTTGAAGGCATCAAGGAAACATAGGACCTCATAACCCATTGCTGAGTCCACCAAGGTGTCGACCTTGGGCAATGGGTAGCAGTTTTTGGGACAGGCCTTATTGAGGTCAGTGAAGTCGATGCACATTCTTCAAACTCCTGTGTCCTTCTTAACCATGACCGGGTTGGATAACCAGGTCGGATACTGGACTTCCCGGATTATCTTTGCGGGCAGGAGTTTGTCCACTTTTTCACCTACAGTTCGACTGCGCTCAGGGCCGAGGTGCCTCCTTTTTTGTTTGACCGGGCGTGCCTGGGGATCAACGTTCAACTCGTGTATTATGAGGTGATGTGGGACTCCTTGGACCTCGTCCGCAGCCCAGGCGAATACGTCTCGGTATTCTCCGAGAAAATCCACCATGCCTTTCCTAATTGGGTCAGGCAGATGGATGCCGACGCGGACCGTCTGATCTGGATTCGTGGGATCCAGGGAGATCTCCTCCACCTCATCTCCGGTCTCCAGTCTCGGGGGACTTCTCAGCTTGCTGAGAATCAATGCAATCAATTGAGAGGATGTTGGACCTCTTTTCTGACATAGTGCCGGAGGCCGATGTGGAGGCCTCTTACAAAGTGGCCAGGTAGCATTCTCGAGCAGCGCAGACATCGCTGCTCACCTCGGCCACACCCGCGGGGGTAGGGAACTTAAAACTCAGATGGTATGTGGAGTATACCGCCCGCAGAGCATTAAGCGTGGGTCGACCCGGGAGCAAGTTGTACGGAGAGTCGGCCTTAACTACCACGAATTTGACAGGGATGGTTCGACAACGGGAGTGATGCCCCACAGTCACCGTCAGAGTCACCATCCCTTCGAGATGCACGATGTGTCCCCCGAACCCTACCAGGGGGGTCCTCACTGGGGTCATGTGTCCCCGGGCGAATTTGAGGCTTTCAAAAGTGCGGAGGTACATGACGTCCACCGAACTCCCTGGGTCAACGTAGACCTTCTTAACAATATAGTTGTTGGTGAGTACTTCAATCACCAAAGTTTCATGGCTACTAGAGGCAGTTGGGACAGGATCACTGGGTCCGTAAGAGATCACCTCGGATAGGTGAGAGCTTGACTCGGCCTGATCCGGGTTGGCTTGCCTGTAGGTTCTCTTCCGGGAGTTCTGACTATCCCCTCCCGTCGGACTCCCTTCGATGGTGTTGATGACCATAGCTATATTTGGCCCATATCCCAACCCATGACCTGAAGATCCGTCTCCGGGAGGCATTCTCGCCTCCCTAGGATCCTTAGGGGACCTACAGCTGCTTCTTGATACCCGCCTCTCGTCTCGGCGTTGGTCACTCCGGCTTTCGCGTCGGGGTTCATTACGTTGGTGACCGCCACCTCGGCGAATGAACTGCTTCAGGTGCCCTTGCCTGATGAGGTTCTCGATCTCCTTCTTAAGGTCGTTGCAGTCCTCGGTCTCGTGCCCGATGTCTCGGTGGTACAGGCAGTAGAGGTTGAAGTTCCTCTTGTCTCTGCTACCGAACATCTTCGGAGGTGCTTTCCCGAGGTTGTTCTGTTCCATCACTGACAACACCCGGGACCGAGTAGTGTTCAAAGGGGTCAACTCAGACTCGGGGATGGATGCTTTCCCCTTGGAGATCTGGTCGAACACGCTGCGGCGGTCTCGGTTAGGGCTTTGGAAGTTCCCTGTCCCTACTTCACTTCGACCAGCCTTTTTTCCCTTTCGGGGATCGGTCCTTGAGCGAGCGGTCTGGACCTCTTTCTTCATGCGGTTGAGATCTTCGACCTGTATGCCCTTCTCGACCTTCAACCACAGTTCATGGAGTGTGCGGGGATATTTCTTGTGGATCCCCGTATTGATTACCCCGGCAACGAACCCATGGGTAAAAGCAGCAATGGTAACTTGCTCATTGGGGTTAGGTATCTGCACGCTTTCTTCGTGGAACCTCTGGACGTACGATCGGAGTGACTCTCCCGGGTTCTGTTGCATATTCAACAGATAAGCCGAGGTACTGGTCGTAGGTCGGTAGGAGACAAATCGGTGAAGAAATTTCTCCACTAATTCCCCCAGGGTTGAAATGCTCCTAGATTCTAAACCCCAGAACCATTTTCGAGCTGTCCCTGGAGGATACTGGAAAAGCCTGGCATATGACGGGGTCAGGGATGCAATATAGGCGGAAGGCCGAGATGAAAGCATGAATGTGGTTTTCAGGATCACCTCGGCCCTCGTAAGATTGTATCGAGGGGAGTTTGAAGTTGGGAGGAAGCCTCTCCTCGTTGATGTCATCCGTGAAGGGTGGATCCCTCTTGTAATCCACCCCAACTCTCTCTATGGGTCGAGGTTCCTCCTCAGGTCGTCGCCCCAAGAGCCCTCTTGACAATGACCTGGTCAGGGAGGCTACCTTAGAGGTGGCCTTAGAGAATGCTCTCTTTGAGGCACTCCGGCTCAGGCGCCTCCCGTCGGACTCTTCTTCGGACGAACCTTCAGGGGATCCATCCGACTTCCTTTTAGAGGACTCGGCCTTTTGCTTGCCTTATCTCTTGAGATACCTTTCTAACTCCTCGAAGATGTTAGGGTTCTCGATCACAAACTCGGCCATACGGGTTATGGCTTCTTCGTTTGCGGGCTGGGTCCTCGGGGACTCCTGCCCTTCGAAAATATCTTCCTGCTGAGCCGCATTACTCTGCTCAGCCCCAATAGTGAGAGCTTTCCTGCTCCTAGAACGCGTAGGCTTCATCCTCTGATGTCTTCGCGTTCCCATAGACGGCGCCAATTGAAGAGGTGATTTCTGACCGGTTAGAGTGAACCGAGAGCTGGAAATGCTACAGCTGAAAAGGTCACAGCGGTCTTGGTCACCTGTTTAATTTACGAGAGGGGCTGAATCCCCCGGTATAACTCCGAAGCTTAAGTCAGTTCGGAATTGGAAAAACAGTTTAATAGTATAGAGAATCAGTGTATGGTGTTTTACCAGAAAATTGGTCATCCCCATTCTCAGTGGAAGTATTGAGTATTTATAGAGGATGGACAGGAAAGAGGGACTGCCGTCACGGGTCCCTAGAGTTATGACATGGTCAGTGCATTAAGTTGATTTGATGGGCTCCTGCGAAAAGGCGCACCGGAACAGTTGTCAGAGTCAGGCGGCGCATGTGTCAGAGCAGCTTTGTCAAATGTCAGAGGTGTCAGAGGTCACATCCCACCTTTCCGGGGGTCAGACACTTATACGTCACTTCGTCTTTATAACAGAAGATCCTAGCCAAGGTGGTAACCGGGTCGAAGTCACTTCCCGAAGTCACGACCCGAGGGGGATTGCCGAGGTGGTGGTTCCAGAAGTACCACAGGGTGAGACCCCCGGACTATCCGAGCTGGAACGACCATCCTCAGTTTGCATATGCAATAACAATTCCCCTAGCAAAGTTTCTGCAAGCACAAAGTAAAGTCATGGAAATGGCTGTGATATCTGCAATTGCTGTTTGTCTGCATGCCTTTCTGGGCTGGCTTGTTATGATGAAGCTGCGATTGGGACTTCTGGGTGCGGCCTTGATGCTTAATGCATCATGGTGGTTCATAACGATAGGCCAGTTCTTGTATGTCATGTCTGGGAACTGTGGTCGATCTTGGTCTGGATTCTCCCGGAAAGCCCTAAGAAATCTCTCAGGATTTGTCAAGTTGTCAATTTCATCAGCTGTAATGCTTAGGTAATTAAGTTCTCGTGGCTTTTTTTATTTCCTAATTTCCTTTAGACGCAGATTGTTTTTTATTCTGCAGTTACTAGTAAATTGAAAGATGTGTAAAGATCAAGTTCAATTAAACTTCAAAGCCATCCCGCTGCTTGAAATTTAATCATGTAAAACGATATGTAATCTAGAGTGATTCGCTTTTGAATGTTACAAATTTTGCAGCTTGGAGATATGGTATATTATGGCGCTAGCTGACACTTGTTGCTGGACATCTAAAGAATGCTGAAGTTTCCGTAGATGCTTTGTCTATATGGTAAGTTGAATCTATATGGCTGGGGCATGCGGCCGAGCTTGGTCTGGATTTTCCTGGAAAGCTTTCACAAATCTCTCCGAGTTTGTCAAGTTATCCATTTCATCAGCTGTGATGCACTGGTATGTAATTTTAATTTTAGCAGCCGGTGGCAGCTGCTTCGGATTACCTGACTGGAAGTTGCTGGGGGAAATTTTCCCAAAAAAAAAAATCTCAGATTGGAAATTTTGAATTGATTAATGGCATACGTACGTTCTTTTTATTTTTAATTTAATGTACGTTCTAATTGATAATGTGGTGAAATTATCTTGCATTTTGCAGCTTGGAGGTATGGTATATTATGGCCCTAACACTTGCTGCTGGCTATTTACCGAATTGATGCTTTTGTCTATATGGTGAGTTAGAATCAGGCCGGGTGAAAGGTTGACAAATTACTAATTAACGTGTTTTGAAATAAATTATATTAATCATCAAGTCAGTAACTTAAACATACATACAAAATGTGTATGTACTTCTGCAGTTAATAAAAATTTTAGTTAAGAAAATAGAAAATAGACAACCTGAGCTTAGTGGTTTAGGCTTTACAGCTTTAATGGTCTGTGGCATATTAACCTAGAAGTACATAAATAACGACGTCGATAGCCAATCAATGCCTTCACCAGGTTAATTATATATATAAAAAAAAAAGCCAACTTCAATTCCGCTGCTATTAAAACTTGTACCATATATTAGTTTTATGAATTCTTATGCTTTTCACTATATATTCATGCGAGAAAGCTAAACCTTTCTCACGATTGTTGAGCAAAGATTTTCGCTATGTTTTTTTTAACCTTAAACTGATTGGGAGATGTAGCGAGGATAACTGCAACTAGATTTTCATTATTGGCAACTTCTTATGAATCTCAAAGTGCAGCTGATTTCTCTTAAACCTATTAAAGGGAACTCACACTGGGCTTGTGGCGCTTAACATTATATGCAGGCATATGCTGCTGAAGAGAGACTAAAACTGTGGGGAGGGGAAACGGAGGCTCAAATTGATGAAGTAAAATGAATGGCTTCCCGACCTGTAACGATGAACCATTCTGAGTTTCTTTGTTCGATGTTTGGTTTGGCAATGACATTGAAAATAGCCAAAAATTTATTGATGGGTTTGGGTCCTACGGCACAAAAAAGGAAGGAATCCGTTGGACCCATTCACTGGTAGGATTTTCTTTTCATGGTTTGTCATCTTGAGTCTTCTATAGCATACATCATATAACCATCCTAATTTGGTGACACCTCATTATATTCGTAATTTCTGCTTTCAATTTTAGCTGAATACCTACAGTAATCCACATTAAAAAGCTCAACCTTCCATGAGCAAATTCGCGCTTCAGTAGACGAGATATCAATCTATGTGAAGATAACAGACAATCATTTCTGGCAAAATCAAAATGCAAGTATCAAACTCCTGATGCTTGAGATTAGCAGTAGCCAAGAAAAACTACGATTGGTTATCTGCCAGACTTGACGCTATAAGAAATTATGGCCCTTTTGTTAAGAGCAACCCTGTTCTCAGCTATCATATCATGAAACGGACAGAAATAAACACATGTACCCAAATTTCATACGAGGCCAATCACTATCCAAGAATTCAAGGCCGAAATGGTAGTAGGTTCTCAACATTCTCCATTTTGAATTGCTATACTACAGTTTCAGTTCCCCAACCCTGGAAAAGTGGAACTAAGGAGACACATGCAGATTTCTTCCACCCCTAGACTATTAGAAAAGAAACATACTTTCATTTCCCAGATTCATTCAAAAATTAGGTTTTAAAACATAACTACTAAAGTCTAGCCAACCAGGCAAACGCTATCATTTCAAAACTAAATTGTTTTATTGATAGGAACTAAGTGGAATCCATAAATCCACCCAGACACACAACATAATCCCAAAACTAATAGCATCTATAAGCTTTAGATTAAAACCGCACCCAATTACAATAAGCAGGCTCGAAATTTACAGAGACTCAAAACAAATAATTCGAACCAGATAGCAAGTCATGAAACCTCTGTAAGATCATAACAAGTATAGCGAACCAGAAAGCACAATCGAGGGATATATGATAGATTAAATTTGATCTCTAAGTAGAGCAAATTTTAACGCCTAACATCCCAAGTAAATGCTAGCATATACCATAAAAATCCATCCATAGTGCTGAAATTAATCTGCTGAATAACATTAAAAACATCCATAAAAAGGGTCCAATAACATTCATTTCATAGCAACAAAATTTAAGGGGTAAATCCAAAAAAGTGCCAAATTATAATACTACTAATAAAACCTCAGACTTAGTAAATCCAAGAAGCAAAACAACCTAAGCAGTGAGAACAACAGCCCCACCAGCTTCCTTAATCTTCTTCTCAGCAGTCTTGGAAACGAGCTTGGCCTTAACAACAACAGGTTGATTTTCAGGCAAAACTCCCTTACCCAAAACCTTAAAGTATCCGAACTGGGTGACATCAATCAAAGGGACGTTGTCCTTGGTAGCTTTGTCCTTAGCTTCTTGAGGAACCAAAGACCAGAGCTTATCGATGTTGACAATGGGGCAATGGAATTTGTTACGGAGCTTGTGGAAGTACCTCATACCAACTTTCCCGAAGTAACCCGGATGGTACTTGTCGAATAGTATCCTGTGGTGGTGCATGCCTCCGGCGTTACCTCTTCCTCCGGGATGCTTGCGGTGCTTGCCGATCCTTCCGTGGCCGGCGCTGACGTGGCCCCTCTTCTTTCTGTTCTTCTTGAAACGGGTCGTCATGGTGGCGGACTCGGGATGTGGGGAAGAGAAGGAGGGTTTTTGGAGCGGCTGGGGAGAACAGAGGAGGGCGCTAGGGTTTGTTGGTATATGTAGTAGGGCAAAAAATCTGGACGGCCCTCAACTTATTAAGTTTATAGATGTTTAGCCCTCCAATTATTAAGTGTATAATTTCTGTCCCTCAAACTTGTAAAAGGTATATTTCTCACCCTTTTAATTAGAGATAACTTTAGAAACTCCCTCTGAGATTTTTATTAATATCACTTGACATTTTTAAAATTTCAAAAATATTACTACCATCTCCTAAAATCATATTTTTTTTTGTAACGATCTAAACCTTGTATCATTCAAATATTCTTATAATAATCATTTTATAAGAGAGATATTTTTCTTCCAATTCCACCTTTTTTTGTTATCTTATATTGAATTTTTTACCAAATTGATTATACTATAAGATTTACATTATTTACCTATAAATTTTCTGTTCCATAATTTTCTGCCTAAAAGTTGTTAAACTAGCAAAGATAATTTTGTCAATTCATATGCTATGATAGTGATTGATGGTCTTTAAAACTTAAAAGGGGCCAAGTGATATTATCCTAAACTTTAGGAGATGCTTCTGAAAGTATCTCTAGTAAAAAATGTGGAGAATATATCTTTTTATAAGTTTGAAAGGTAAAAATATGCACTTAATAGTTGAAGGATCAAAAGTTAACTAACTCTACTGGTTGAGGACTATTCAGATTTTTTACCCTATGTATTAAGGAGACGATGAGTCGTCAGTTTACTGTTTTCGCCTTGGAGTTTGGGGAATTTGGTTCTTCAAAGAAGAGTAGAATGGGAAGCTTAGTGTTAGTTTACTGTTTTTGCCTTGGAGTTTGGGGAGTTTAGTTCTGCTAAGAAGGGTAGAATGGGAAGCTGAGTGTTGTGTGGAGTTGGATTAGGCCCATCAGGGTTTTGTGCGGCGGACGAGGCCGCTGAGGGAGATCAATTTGCAAATTGGGCCTGTTTTTCCTCCCTCATTTTTGTGCATTCACGGTTTATTCTTCTCGTTTCAGTGTCACGGTTGTAGATTTGTCATAATTTTACAGTTCAACAAACAAATATTTCGGCGCAGAAAATTTTTCCAGATCCCAGGATTCTTCTTCTTTACTTGTGATCGGTACCATCTTTAGTCTTTTTTTGTTTCTTCATTTCAGCCCTTTTGCGTGTTAGTAGGGTTGTGATTTGTGAAATGGCATCTTGGGCTTTGGTTACCAATTGAGCTCCACTCAGCTGAACATCATAATTCGTGGATTTATTTTTTTTAAAAAAAACTATTATTGAAGGAGCCAATGGAATGTATAAGCTATATGTCAAAAAAATAATGATAAATTTAATTCAGGAATAAAAAGACATATTTGATTAATCAGAGTTCAAGAAATTGTATGAGGGAGATAGATAAAAGTAAGAACAAAAGACCGCTGGGTATAAATGTACAAGGAAATGTTTTATACTTAAATGCAGATAAAAATGTTCAAGAATATACTATATTCCACTAAAGAATCCAGAGAAAGGAAGGCATTTACATATACATTTTTCAGGCTTCAGCTGACATCCTTTTATGAGTTCCACCTGTTACTTTGGCTATAATCTGCCAATTGACTTCAAAATCCAATGATATAAAAGAATGGAAGCATTTTACTTTTGCAGTAAAAGAGCAGCTCCAACCAGCCCTACCCATAATGTCAAAGCTATCCAAAAGGTTTGGTTCTTCTCCAAGCCAACCGGGGGTTTCCATGCCAAGAAGTCTGCTAAGTAGTCTCTACCTGATGGAAGCTGATTAGTAGTAGAGAAACTTCTCTTTTGATCTTTGTCCTTGTATTTGTCAGTCCATGTTGCCGCATAGCTGTCAAATTCAACTGCATGAGTAATGTATCATTCCAGGGGAATTACCCATTCATGAGAACAAGATGCCAATCCCCAATCCAATTATAAGAATGAAGAGGAAAGGAAATATGGAAACATTGATTCACAAGCTCAATAAGCTAAGGAGAAGAGCGTTTCTTCCACTAATATCCTTTAATATTACTAGTGTGAAAAGCCACCCAAACTTTATTCAAGCAACACTTTTGCTCATAATTTGATTTGATTTTTTTTCCCATCCCTCCCCACGCCCTTCCTACCCCTAGTTGTCAGGCCTAGGATTCAAACCTTGAACCTAACAGCGACTCATGATTTAATAGTTAAAAGTACAAAGACCATCAGTAGCAGCTCGTCTATTATTCTCTCTGTTATCTGGTTTGTTATCTTGCCTAGGCACCGTCATAACCCTTCTTTCTTTTCCATCAATATGCTAGTCTAGCTAATTAGAGATAACGAAGACTGAAGCATCAAAAAGCAGGGACTAGTGACCATCATTATATCTTCAAGTATTCAACATGCGTCTTCACGGACTTCAACACTTGGAACTCTATAAACTGTTGTTGCTAAAATTGACTTTAAACCTGGAAATACATAAAAGCGTCCATTATGTGCCACTGCTAGTTCCTCAGCACTTAGTAGATGTATTTTCTATGTTACCAAGCCATTAATGCATTAATACATGAAGAATTTATATCCTGAAGCAGAAGCCAGCAATTTCTGCTGAGACAAACACACAGAAATACATGGAACTTACCTATCGTAGCTAGAACCTATCAGTGGTATGGTAACCATCTCTTCCTGGGTTATCTTGAGCTTAGGTGCTTGCAATATGTAACGCAGTTCTGCAGCTTGCCGCCGAATGCTGACACTGGGATGTTTTTTCTCCAGCTGCTGGTAAAGTGCTATGCAATCTGCATGTCGATTGTTAGCTTCATAGGCCATTGCAAGCCATATTTGTATCTGATGAAACAAAAAGCATGTTATAGAAAATTAAAGATCATGATAAATATATATATATTAAAAAAAATCCAATAAGACCACAACAGATCCTTCTCTAAAAAGTTGAGTACTAACCTCACCACCAAACAAAGTTGGCCTGGGAATGATGGTGAGGGCAGCTTCAAGAAACTCAATGGCACGTCCATACATTCCCCTCCCATAAGCTTTCTGACCCAAGTCAAACATCAATTGAGCCATTTTTCTCCGTTCAGCTTGCTCCTTTGCTACCTACTCTCACAGAAAAACAACTAGAATTAAGCTTTACCATCAGATGAGAACTATGATAGAACAACAAAATTTCAATACCTTGGACAAATCATTAATTCTTATGCTACAAAATATAGTGTGAGATGACCATTTTCATTATCCCATAACCCGTTGTCAAATTTCCCTAGATAACCACCATCTGGCACATTCTTCATAATGCATATTTAGTAACCGCAGTTATAACCAAATTTCTCCATGTTTTACATGGAAGCTTGAACGCCAGAGAATCTGCACTAGTTCAGGCAGTAACCATTTCCTACCAGCCAAAGTACTTCCTCTTTTTCCCAATAATAAGACAACTGTTCCTTGCCACCAAGTCCAATAGTTTAGCATAATGACAATCTACACAATGGATAATCTACAACAACTTAAAGAATAATGTAAAGAATAGAATAAGAAAGACGAAATTTTGAATGATGTAGTAGTACCATTACACACAGTAGCAACAAACTCATCAAAATGAATTTACCGAGACACAATTTAATAAGTATAGTCTGTATAGATCTGACTCATTCTCCGGTTGGCAGCTAACATATAAATCTTAAAATAACTAACCTGCCTTAATACAACTTTCTTTTTTATGAAGGATTATAAAACTTGATCCATATCCATATACTAATCTCTCTTAATAGTAGTCATAGCTCAAAACGAATTCAAATTAACAAAACAAATCAAACAACTCCAAACAGAAGGTAACATCCACATCATCTGAAATCAGCCCAAAAATCCATAACTATTGAGTAAATGAAAAACCCGAAAAAAATAGGAAAACAATTTAATGACCTTTTCGAGCTCTTTTTTTACTCTCATCCGTTTCTCTTCCTCAGTATCTTCCTTATTCTCCCCACCAACTTCCTTAAACTCCTCGTCCACTCTATTCTGCACTTCTTCAGCCTTCTTTTCCAGCTCCCTCATCTCCTCAATTTCCTTCACTCTCCTCCTCATCTCTTCCTCCCAATTAAACCCATCCTCATCCGCGAACCCATTCCCATTTTCGTCGTCGCTGGAGTTCTCGTAGTCCACTGCATTCACCTTTGACTTGGACTTTAACTTTTCTTTTTTAGCAAAAGATTTTTCTTTTCGGATTTCCCCATCGAATTCTGGGGCAAAAGATTCTTTCTTGAACAGGTTCAAGACGACGTCGGAGAGAATTGGGACCGGCGGGCGGTGGGATTTTCGGTCGGGTAACGTGCAGTAGCGTGGAGATGTTACGCGAGCTGGGTCCAGTATTAGAGCTAAATTGCCAAGCACTGCAGCCATGCTTGGAACGGCGTCGTGTTACACTAGTATTTTATTTATTTATTTGCAGTGGGAAGATGATGATACAAGGTACAAAACAGTTTCGGTCAGTCGAGGAAGAAGATGAACGAGAAGAAAGAGATATTTTGTGCAAGAGGATGCCAAAATGACTTTAAAGGCCACAAAGAAGCTAGCTAATGAATAATTACTCAGTATTGGTTGGGATTGTCTTTCAAAAATTATTTTTGTATTTCGAGGATACACAGGTTATTTGAAATAATTATTATAATATTTTTTATGATATAATATATGTAAGATAAAAAAATAATAAAAAATCGTGTATATGATGTAAGTAAAACAAAATTTGATTTTTTTTTTTGAAATTTTTTATATCCAAACAAGCTCACTCGTAAATATTTTAAAAATAACTTTAAAAATAATTCAAAAAATACACACACTATCAAACATAACTTATAAAGATATATTAAAAAAATATTTTCTTTTTTTACCCGCCATAATCACTTACCACCGCCAAGACCCCTATCTCTTCTTTTCTCAACTTCTTGCCCTTCTTTCTTTCCTCTACCTCCTCCCTTTCCTGTTTAGTGTGTGATTAGATTTGGTTGCGATCTTCTAACTGGTTACACTAGAGAGGAAGGCTACGAGAGGGCGAAAAAGGAGGAATGAAAGGAAGAAAAGAAGGAAATGAGGAAGGAGGAGTAAGGAGAAAGAGGGAAGACAAAAGACGAAAAAGAGAGAGTAGGAGAAAAACCACAGGCAGGAACGGTTGCACACCACATAATTTTATTTGCACACGGCGTAACTTTGTTTGCACAATGTGTAACTTTAGAACAAAATTTTGTGAGTCCCACACACATTGTGAAAATCAAGGTACAAAAAGTGATCTAGACCTTACAATTTTTTATGGTCAAATCCTGGGCATGAACTGTTCAAGGAATGGTCTTTCTGATGACCTTCCCTGCCCCTTATCCGTAGGAGAGAGGGGCTGGGGCGACAAGGTGGGTGTTGCTGTTTAATTTGTGAAAGGTATCTAAAAATTTTAAATTTTAAAAATACCCACAAAACAGCCAAAAAAATATATCTACACTAAAAAATTTTCATATACACCAATGTAGTAAAATTTTTAAAAAATATTCTCGAAAACAACTAATTTATGCGCGAGCCATCATTCGATCCATATAGAATGAACTCGTTTAGCTTGGTTTTACAATACATACATTTTGATTAGTTTAATCCACTCCATCTTTTACGTAATGTTTGTTCGCAAGGAAAATTGTGTTCATTTAGCAAGAAAATAGAAAATTTCTCTTACTTTATTGCATTTTAAGTCCTACAAGATTTGTGGGATTTTGACAAAAAACTATTAGTTGCATAAAATATTTTTGATAACTATCACTAAGTATCGTTGACTTTCTCTTTTCTCTCAATTTGTTTGATTTTTTTTTTTTTGTTAAATCTCAATTTGTTTGATGATAATCATACCTTTCTATTTTCTCTCAATTTGTTTCATGATAATCACACGTATATTGGAGAAGATATTGATTTTCCTTTACTTCACTTTTCTATACTACATCTTACCACACAACTTTCTTTCTATCCAAACAAAATCTTAACAGATATAATTTAGTGTATTTTTTTTATGTTAATCAGATTGAAGTTAAAAAAAAAGTTTAATTAATATTTTGCAAGCTTAGTATAACTAATTGAAGAAAATAATTTTAAACAAACTTTTTAGTCTAGTCCAATTGGTTAACTTGATTTTTTTTTCTTTTTATAGTTTTTATTGAAAGTTTGGATTAATCTTGTATACATTAACAATATACACGTTAGTACCTTTAAATGTATATCACACATGCAAATATAAAATATGAGTTCAAATTAAGATCAAACAGTGTAATGTGCTAATATATACACCATCAGTATATAGATTAGAAAAATTCTATGATTTCGTTTGAGTATCATTTCCTCAACTTGTATTTATTACTAGAGATAAATAGTTTAAAATTTAAATATTTAATAATGTTTAATCTAAGGGTTAATAATATTTATTTCACCGTCCAACACTGAATTTCACTTATAAATATGATATCCAAGAGGTGCCATACAGTCTCGTGAATAGATTAATCCTTAGGCACAGATATCGGTTTACTTGATGACCATTTTATATGGTTGTAGGCTTGTCCCGAAAAAAGTGTAGACGTGGCGCACCGTCAACGTAGCCCTTGAGGATGAAAGCAATCTCCACGGCAACCAAAAGCTAAGTTCAAATGGCGTGGCTTTTTTTTTTGGACCAAAAAAAAGCAATCAAGCGGTGTGAAATGAAAGAAGAAGTTCAAATTAAAAACCTTCACGGCATCCAGTCCCAGATGCTGATGAAAGCTTGTGGCGGGCTGGCGGCTGACGCTCAGTTGCAACTTTGTACTGAATCGTTGGATTGTTGGGCTAAAGGCGATGAATGTTCCTACTTTTGTAAATGTTTGTAATTCAGCCGAGTCAATTCAGCAGCACGGGTGTTGTTTGTTTGAATTGCTACTTTTAAAAGTTTTACAAAAATCGTTATGTTGAAAATTAAAAAAATAGTTAAAAAATATGTTTATGAAAATTGTAAATATATTTTTTCACAAAACTATAAACCAAACAAGGTACGATTTGAAACAATTCACAGATTGCTGTACACATGTTTCGGTTTTGTAAATAGTACGTTTTTGTTGCTTAGGCCCAAAAAGAAAAAGAAATGGTCATCCTATTTTAACCGTCCCTCCATTACACTTACCAAGTTTAGAAGAGGAGAAAATATTATACTAATAGATAAGTTGTAAATTGTATAGTATAACTTTCTAAACCACATTTGTATTGAGCATTCGTGTGGTAAAAGAAGCAAATACCTATACATATATATATTTAACGGGTGTTCTATGAATCCTCGTTAAAATGTATTTCAGGTGTTAAATTTTTAAAAATATAAAATTAATTTAAAAAATATAAATACAAGATAACTAATTAGAAAAAGTTTATAAATATAAAAGAAAGTAATAGTTGTTATTATGTATATATATATATATAGTAAGTTGAGTGAAATATAAATGCATTAACAAGTATTTATTGTGCATCCGTTATATATATATATATATATCATTCCATATATTCAAGTATCACATGAATTTTATCGTAACATCATGTATCACTTAGTATAACCTTTTTTCTACATTCTCATGAATGAATGAGCATAATTATTTAAGAGATCCTCGAATCTATCTATCTATCACACAAATTAAGAATCGGTATGTACCCAAATTTCCTTTGTCAAGCAACATTCAACTTATTTAACACTCCAAGCAACAGTGCCGTGGTCAGCTGGACTATTACCGGATCAGCATTCCCGACCCGTATTGAAAAGCAGCGCCAAGAAGCCAATCGGGTCAAGCCAACCGTTAAAACTCAAAACCAAACAAAAGCAAACCAGTTCTCCTGAAATATGTGGTAGTCTTGACGACTGAGGAGACGAGACAACAATGGCTCTTCCACTTGTCTTCTGCCATCCCCAGACATCTTCAAGTTTCATCACGTCCTCATCCCAACGAAGAACACAAGTCTTCTTAATAAGGAACACCAATCACGATCCTCTTCCTAACGCCAGAACCAATCTCCAGTTGACTCCCTCCAAATCCAATGGAAGATTCATTTCCATTTCTCCTCCAAAGTCATCAGCTTCAGTCAATGGATACTCTGTCAACAGTACTATTAGCAATCCCGAGGATGTTGATTTTCCAACAACAGAGGGCAGCGAGAAACTTAGTCAGAATCCCAGAACAGTGATTGAGTTTATTAAGGATATATTGCCAGGTGGTAGCTGGTGGAGGCTCTCTTCCTCGGACCATGTTGAAGTTGTCCTAACGGCAAAACCGGTGACAGTTGTGCGAGCGCTTCGGCGGATGTGGGATTTGATAAGTGAAGATCGGTGGGTCATTTTTACTGCCTTTTCTTCCTTGATGCTGACTGCCGTAAGTTTCTTCCTCCTTTATATTTTACTAGTAACTTCTTTCAAGTCCATAAATACATGTAGCGAAATGTAGTGTTAGTATCAGGGATAACGCGCAACTTTTTCAGGTATTTAAGTTGAAGTCGATTCCCAAGAAATAGACTTCCATATATAAGCAAACGACCAACAGGGGTCAATATTGCTATAAATTTGATAAAAAATCACACAAGATTCAGATGAATAACCTCTAGAAATTATGCACTACTTGTTGGTAGTACACTAGAGGAGTATCAAAATGCTGTTGTACTCTAAAGGCAGATATATAAATAACTTAACAATGTCTAGCAGTCTAAGCCCACTTACACGCCCTTAACATTTTGTGAAATATTCGGTTGGATTGCCTCGAATTACCACTGTCTTTTGCCAACTAAACTTTGGACTTATTGACGTACCATACATATGTGGATTGAAATGTGTCATAATGTAGTGATCTAAGATTATGTATTTTATCATGATTACGATTTACCAGTACTGAAGTAGTGTCTTTGTATAATTCAATTCACGAAATGAATATGATAACGCTAACGAATCTAAAGGTGGTTTTCACATAATTTAAAAATATTGATCAGGTGGTGTAAGTGCACTTAAAGTAAACCTGTCTTAAGTTGATTGTTCCTCATCATACATACGAGAAAAGGTTAGATTGAATTCCTTCAATGAAGTGGGTGTTTGTTTAGTTTTATATTGTTCTGTTGATCAGGGACTGCCTATCTGACTTCTATGTGTTTCTTTGGCTCAGCTTTCACAGATCTCAATTCCTCATTATCTGACAGCTTCAATTTTTTCTGCCCAAAGTAACAATGTATCGGTGTTTTCCTGGAATGTGAAGCTTTTGATTCTGCTATGCATTACATCAGGAATAGGCAGGTTAAGATCTCGTATGATCAACCCTCCCTTCTTTTAAACAACAGCTAGTTGAGTCATTAGCAGACTCAATTATAAATGCCTTTTTTTATTCCTAGTGGTCTTCAACTTCTTAAGGTCTTGACCCACAAAGGGGGTACAAAGCCAATGCGTATTTTACTTTGTTAAACTTCACTACTTTTTGTCCAACGTTTGCTACTTTGCATATCGACTGTTTTATGATCTAGATGAGCGATGTTTGCCCCCCCACAGTTTGATATTGTTTCTCTTATTGAAACTCACAGTGGTATAAGAGGTTGCTGTTTTGGCATTGCAAATATGATTCTGGTGAGTTTACTTTCTCATAATTAAGTTTTTGTCAACTGTGCAAGTTAGAACGCTCAACAGTCCACATCTTCACCAACCTCTTGGATGAAATAAAGTGTATTTATGTAGTAGTAACTTGAAGTATAATGTAAGTGTTTCGTAAACTGCAGAATAAGCCTTTTAGCTATTGTTCAAAGGTGTGACGAGTTAAGTTTTGCTAGGCTAGATAATGCAGCTATCTTATTCAACTTAAAAGGCATTTTGTTCGATTAGATTGAGACAGCATTCAATGATCCATTTTGGTGAATGAGTAGATGAGATGGTTCATGAGAATTTGATTGTTGCACTGAATTGACTTTTTTGGCTTGTGCAGGTCAAACGAATGAGGGAAAGATTATATTCTACTCTTCTTCTTCAGGTTTGTTTGGATTGATATATGGAATAATTCTCTCCGTAGCATGCAAAATGATTTTCTTTATCTAAAGCACTATTCTTAATTTTTAGTTGATTGCTTTGTAGGATATTTCTTTCTTCGACTATGAGACAGTTGGTGACCTAACAAGTAGGCTTGGGTCAGATTGTCAGCAAGTCTCACGCGTAATTGGCAATGACCTTAATCTTATATCTCGCAATTTGCTTCAGGTTAGTTATCACAGATGTCAGTCTGGAGTTCACTTACAAGTAGAAAAATCTATAACTATTCACTTACAAGTAGAAAAATTTATAACTATCTGTTCATTCAGGGGACAGGTGCATTAATATACTTAGTGATCTTATCATGGCCACTTGGATTGTGTACATTCGCTATATGCGCTATGCTGTCAACCATAATGCTGTTATACGGCCAGTAAGATCCTGTAAACCCTTGTGCCTTACATGAACAGGCAATGATTTGAGGCTATATTCTTAGGAAAAGTGAAAATGCATTATGCCTATTTTGAAACGTTAATAAGAAGTGTCTATTGATATCTCATGACTATAAATTTAAGTAAGCTATCTGTGGAATTACACTTCTATAAGAGAATATGCGCAAGTAAGATTTGCTGCTTGAGGCAAGTTTTTGGAAGGAAATGGGTTTATGCAACTGAAAAACAGCTGAAAGGTGGATTTCCTCTGATTAAGTAGCCACCTCAACATTGGAGTATTTTACCAGAACCATTGGTTGAATTATTCAATACTGGACATGCTCTGAGCTTATTTAAGTGCATTTAAAAGAAGTTTAAGAACCAGACAACTTTCTTATTTCTTTTTCATTTTAAATTGCTATGTTTTAATATCTATATTTACATGGCATATTCTCTAGGTACCAAAAGAAAGCAGCTAAATTGATCCAAGACTATGGTGCTTCAGCCAATGAAGTAATATCAGCAAACTCAATTTTAATTGTCCAGATAAGTGGAAAAGTGCTATCCTGTTGAAGTTGTTTGTTTATACGCTTAGGTTGCTCAAGAGACTCTGTCTTTAATGAGGACTGTAAGAGTGTATGGTACTGAACAACAAGAACTTGGAAGGTATGCAAGACATATGATGCAATGTCGTTTATTGAGGATCAATGCAGTACAGTATCACTGTTCACATTGCATATACATTTGTATATATGCTCTGAGGTTGATATATGTATGTCATTGCTTGCTGCTTTATCTAAAGGTACAATAACTGGCTGGAGAAATTAGCGGATATAAGTTTGAGACAGAGTGCTGCATATGGACTTTGGAACTTCAGCTTCAACACCCTCTACCATTCAACACAGGTAAGTTCCTTCCAGTTCATATTAGGAAGAAAAAAAACTTTTCTGCTTCATCTGTAGTTTCTATACATTCTGAAGAGGAAAAATTTTCATGCAGAACTTCAACTAACTTAAGCTAGTATATAGCATCAAGGTTTGTATGTTGGGTCAGTCTTATGCGTCATGATTCAAAAGGCTAAGTTTCATTCAATTTTCTGTCTTCTGGGTTTGTGAGCTTCATTATCCATCATGCACTCCAGAATAAGTTTCCAGTTGACAGGGAAGCATCTGTTTTTCTTTTTCTTTTTTTTTTTGTGAGGGGCTGGGGGGAGGGGGAAAGATACCTGTCGTACTTGATTTTCTTTCTTTTCTTGGGGTATGGGGAAAGGAAATGGGAAGTCACTCAAACTTGCCAAGGATGGGGTCAAACTGGTGGTTCTTCCATTAGCAACAGTGCAGTTGATTAAAAAGTTCATTTTAACCACTTCAGTCTGCTGCTTCTTACCTGTAAATTCTATCTGGACACTTCCAAATATTCTTTATTTAACTGGAATGAAAAGTGTTTGAAGGCTGTGGAGAGAAAGGAAAAGTTGGATGTCTTTCAGGTTAAAACCAGTGCTAAAAATGTTAATAACCTGTGAGTTTAATGTGAGAAACCATAATTTTGTTGTTCTCCATATCATGGGTTTGACTTTACTCTCGGCATTTAATTTATAGGTTATTGCTGTGCTGATCGGAGGAATGTTTATACTGACTGGTCGTATAACAGCGGAGCAACTTACAAAGTTCATATTATACAGTGAATGGCTGATTTATTCAACATGGTCGGTCGGAGACAGCTTGTCATCATTGATGCAGTCTATAGGAGCCAGTGAAAAGGTTTTCCAACTGATGGATCTTCCACCAAGTAATCAGTTCATATCAACTGGTAAGCTTTGAGTTTAAGATTGAGAGTTGTTGTCTTTGTTTAATTGTCTCTTTTAAATAGTACAGAACTTCATGGGGGGCTGTCTGAAGTTAATGGCAGATAGACTGAATATTAGACTGAATATTTTACAATCAAGGAAATATGCCATCAATAGCATTTTCAAACAACTCCTTTTGTTTTAGTGCTATTTATTCCTAGTAAAGACTGGAAGTAATATTTCCAATGCTTATGCGTATTATTGTGTAGCAGGATCAAAATTGCAAAGACTGGTAGGGCATATTGAATTCCTGAATGTCACCTTTTCCTACCCTTCAAGGGCTTTGGTAGGGTTTATCTTCATACTTTCAAAACTTTTTTCCCTTCTATGCTGTTATCTATATCTAGATGATGCTGGTTTCTGCAAATTTTGAATGGCTACAATTGAATGCATTGGTTATTGCACAACTTAACAGGTTCCAGTATTGCAACATATAAACTTCCAAGTGCATCCTAATGAAGTAGTTGCAATTGTAAGTGTTCCTTTTTGCTCATTATGATTTATATTCTGAGTATCAATCGATTTCTGGGATAATAAGGAAATGCATACGCTAAATCATTCATATTTTGAAAACTAGAAGTGTATATTGAGGTGTAATCAAGTTTAATGAAAGAATGACCAGTGTGGCCACACTTCTTATTTGGTAAATACTAGGAATAACTCCCTTCTAACGTCCATTGACAGGAAACTCAGAGGTCATACTTAGAGAACTTTATTATTAGAGAAGGTTGGTGGCAACTCAAGCGAAAGAATCAAAGAAAGTGGTTAAAACAAAGAGAAGGAAAATCTAGTTCCTTTGGATGGATACTTGAATTTAATTAGATAGAGTGGCGATACTTGTGAAAGAAGAATATAATAATATCAAAGTCCTTCTGAAGGCATTTTACACTTGCAACATTGAAAATACTGTTTCTCCACCTTCTTCAATAACTTTTCCCAAGACATGTTCCCAAAGGTTTTATTTGTTGTTCAACAATACCATATAAACTTGGATCAATATCATGATTGAAGATTCCTGAGGTCTAGTTTTCCATAAGGTGTCAATCAGACATATAAATAGCATGATTCAGGCCTATTATGAGATAAGCAGTTTCACATTGCACAATAGATAAACTTCAATGTGCCTGGTTAAAGTTCTTCTTTCTGCTTCCATTGTGTTTTTTCTTCTATTCCTTCAAACAGAATTCTTGAGAAGTTAGTATCACCTTATTTAACTTTGTGTAGGTTGGTTTAAGCGGAAGTGGTAAGAGCACTCTAGTGAATCTGTTGCTCCGCCTTTATGAACCAACAGGTGGCCAGGTGAGCTTTTACTGTTACATCATTCAAACTGACGGAGGAAACCAGTAATTCTGTCAACAACATGGAACTTTTTATTTGGAAAAGTAGTCTCTTTATAGTGTAGTTATTGCTGAGCTAGTTATTACATCTTGCAAATTAAAAAACTGATTCAAGTACAGCAAGTTTGAGAACATGAAGTTTGTCATTTTTTGTTCTCTATACACACAGACTGTATACACTTATGCCATGCATATTAGCAAAAAGGCTTAACTTTTCTGGGGCATTCTGCCTCAAACTGCCTTGTTCTATTTCTGACTTGTGTAATTGGGATTTTAAATCTAGATAATGATTGATGGGCACCCAATTAAAGATTTGAACACCAAGTGGTTAAGGGAAAGAATCGGTTATGTGGGACAGGTTTACCTTCTCAACTTCTTTGGTTTAATTTCATGTGAAATGTGTTAACATTCTCTAATTAGAACTTTTTTCACCAGGAACCTCGGCTTCTCCGTACTGATATCAGTTCAAATATAAGATATGGATGTCCCAGGGTGGTAAATCAAAAGGATGTAGAAAGGGCCGCCAAGCAAGCTTATGCCCATGAATTTATTTCATCTTTGCCTAATGGCTATCAAACTCTTGTGGATGATGAATTGCTCAGTGGAGGGCAAAAGCAGAGAATTGCTATAGCAAGGGCAATTCTTAGGGACCCAGACATATTGATCCTAGATGAAGCCACCAGTGCACTGGATGCTGAGAGTGAGCACAACATTAAGGTATCTATTGATGATGTTTTGGTAGAAGTAGCTCGTCAAACCTTGAAACACATGCTTAAAGTGTCTTCTGTTGTACTTAGGGTGTCCTTCGTGCAGTCAGAAGTGACCTAAAGACAAAGAGAACTGTCATAGTGATTGCACATAGGTAAATGTATGAAACAATGTTTAACCTATTTGGACTTCTACCTCATTGCCTCTTGCTGTAAAGAGGGCAAGAAAATTGAATATTTGAAGTATTGATAGTGCACTTTTCACAGGCTTTCTACAATACAGGCTGCTGACAAAATAGTTGTCATGGAAGGTGGTAAAATTGTTCAGGTATGTATGTTTCTCTTTCTCTGCTTATGGGATCCACTAGGGGGCTTATGCTTTTGTCTTCTTTGCCTTCTTTCTTTCCTTCCTTGCACCACTTCACTCTTTTTCAGGTTTCTAGTTTCTCTGACATTGTTAAAACAGAAAATTATTGCTGCTAGGTGCTAGGCTTGTGTCCTCCTATCCCGATGCATGGATGGTACTGAACCTCAAACAATCTATTAGATTGCAGCTTGCGCAGGCTTATGTTACATGCTTGTTAACCTCTGTCACTGTATAAGCAGTGTCACTAGTACAAGTGTTCATGTCTTTATATTCAAGTCTGGAAGTTCCATTTTTCTCCCGAGGCTTAAATTTTGTGTAAAAGATTAGCAACATGCAGCTTGCAATTAAATAAGAGTCTGTGTATTAAGTAATCAAATAGGACTAATCACATTTATGCGACTGGGAATAGTTACTTTCATTTCGCTTTTGAGTATGCTAAGAATTTTTTTAAAATTAATTTCCAGGTAGGTAGCCACTCAGAGCTACTACTGAAAGATGGTTTGTATTCACGATTAACAAGAAGACAGGCCGATGCTGTGGTACCATCTTAGTATTGGTCGATGTTTGGCAGTTTCAGTGCATTCTTTCCTATTTCCATTTTTTTATTTGCTATAGCAGAGGTTACATCACTTTTGGGAGCCATGGATTACCAGTGTCAGTTCAGGAGATTTCTCCACAGAGAAAATGGCAAGGTTAAGCGATTAGTTTGCTGCTGTTCATAATTGTCCTTTTCTTCTTTCCAAAGAAGACTAGGTTGCACTTCAGTCCGCTTAGGCCATTTTCAAAGGAGTAATGCAGCTCATGGAGTTGCTGCTGCTACATTCTACTGCGAGCTTTTTCTCATTCCTCAAATCATATGAGTAGTTCAACAACAATCTGCTGTGATCTGCTGCAGACCAAGCGGTAGAGCCCAATACCTAGGCAGCTTTTGAAGTTTCTGCGACCCTAAACCATACTTCTTGTCCACAGTTCTTGTACTTGAACTATATGATCTGTTATAACTCAAGGGCTCTTTTTCTTTTAGAGGGAACTTGAGGCATATGTTGGAACATGCATAAGCATACTGTTGTATGTTTTATGGTCCTAATCAATTCATTTACTACATTCAGTTGATACAAGATATTCTGCGAAGTGGAAGAATGCTTACGGTTTGTTCGTCTTTCTTTTTAGGGTAAACAACAAAAAAGCCCCCTGTGGTATAGCTATCATACAACAAAACCCCCTCTGGTTTCATATCATACACGTCGATACCCCATACTTTGAATTATTGTGAAAATTCGACGGAAATCGTTAAAACAGACGGAGCTGAGTGAAACGACGAAAATACCCTTTTGATATAAGCGACAATTGCAGAAGTAATTTTGCTCTTCATTCTGTCAAAACCAACGAAGAGAGAGAGAAAGAAATAAAAAACCCTAGAGAGAAGATGGAGCAGCCTCTTTTGTAGCCAAATTTCAGCAAAAATTTCGATTGTTATTTCAATCAAATATCAAAATCGACAGATAATACGAGGAAGTGAAGATCTGCGGTGAAAAATCGAAGAAAAAGTAACCCCTTTTGTAGCCAATTGCAGCCCCTTCTGTAGCCAATTTTCAGCAAAAATTTTGATTCTTATTTCAATCAAATATCAAGATCGACGGAAAATAGGAGGAAGTGAAGATTTACGGTGAAAAATCGAAGAAAAATGGGTTAGTATATCATCTCTCATCTATTTCCATTCGGGTTTTAGGGTATGATGTGGAAGCGAAAATGTTATTTACTGATTTCAGATTAAATTGGGAGGCCATTATTTAACAAAGATAATATTTTTGATGTATTTACGTAATGAAGATGAAGGTTGTTCATGTATGTCCAGCAAACCTAGCTGCATAGATAGACAGCTTAAGCGTCCCTTTCAAATTGCTAAAGTTTTGATAATTATTGAAAGCTTAAAAAGGGATAGCTTTATAGAAGAGGTCCCTCGTTTACTAGCTTTGGTTCCAATTCCTCAATTGTTTGGCAAAGATAAGGCTACACATTTCATGTCCTAATCTGGTCACCCCTTCTTTTTGGTCAGACTCAATTGTTGAGTCTGACAGTCCGTGTTTTTGGCTTAAATTTATACTATCAATGTGTAGTATTACGTGTATTGATCAATTACTACAGTTAAATGCCATGACTAGTCAAGCACGACAACTTCTGTAATATGTAATTATCTTAATATGGCTTATATGGAGACATATTGTGGTCCAATGTGGTCCCCAATCCCACCTACAATGAATTGTTTGTTCTGATTGTGTTATGTTAGTTTTTGTGTAGTTGTCAAAGACAAATTACTAATATCTGATGTCCTTTATTGCTTATCATGCTGCAGCAGAGGAGAAATTCGAGAACAAAGTTGACATACACATGTATTTTTATGGGAGATTTAGAGAAAAGCCAAGGCTCCACTACACAGGAACCCACAAGGCTATTTTCAAAGACAGAATAGAAAATCAGTTATCGATAGTGAGTCTGTGTAGAATGTTTAAAAAGGTAGATGAAGGAGCAACTAGAATAACTTTTTGGTTTTGTGTCCCAGATGTGGATTTAGAAGGTGGTCTACACCCAATTAGAGACAATAATGATATTGAATTAATGAACCAGTGCTACTGGAACTTGCCTAAGGAAAGGCTAATTTATGCTTGCAGTGGGGATGAGCCATTTGAAAAGGAGCCAGAAGATGGTGGGGTCAGTGATGGAATAAAAAATGAAGGCCATGATACGGGTGCATGTGAAGATGGCGGGGTCACTAACACTACGGGGACAGCTGCATGTGAAGATGATGAAGAGCCAGAATGGTTAAAAGATGGGTTGGAAACAATAGAAGATGAAGACATCTTTAGCCCAAAGAAAGATGCTGTTGGAGACAGCAACTACAACAAAAAAGGTGGGGCAGGGGCAGATGGCACTAGTGCTTCTTCAAAATTGCCAGTGCATGTATTCTCATTTGCTGGAAAGTCAGATGAAAAAAGTTCTCCTAAAAGGGGTTCTGTGAGAAAGAAAAGGGCCAGTAAAAATTCACAATATAGAGGGCCTGATGTGATTCAGCAAATTACACCACCTGTTTCAGAGCAAAGGCCATCAGAAGTTGAAGATGTAAGCATTGAAAAGGGACCTGTTTCATCTCAGAAGCTATCAAAAGATGAATCTATAAACATTGAAAAACCACCTGCAACATTTAGAGAATCAAATTTGAGAGAAGAAGACGAAAGGGTAGGGAATGCTGAGGTGACTGAAGAGGATTGGCAAGAACCTGTGGTTCCGGATGAAGAGTTGCTAGACAAATTTAGATCTGGTAGTGGAGAAGAAGATGACTGCCTTGACTTTAATCCTGAAGTTGAGTTTAGGAAGCCACACTTTGAGCTGAAAGTGGGGCAAAAGTTTACTAATTTTAGAGTGTTTAGATCTGTGTTGTGTGAATGGCTAGTAAGAGAGGGTTATGAAGTTACTTGGGTGAAAAACTACTCTAAGAAAATTAGGGCCAACTGTGCAAAAGGTTGTAGTCGGAGGATTCGGGCAACACCAATTCAAGATGAATCAGCCTTCCAAATAAAGTCACTGAAGGGTGAGCATGTGTGTGCTCGAGAATATCAAAATAAGCATGCAACAGCCACATATCTGAGCAGCAAATATCAAGATAAGATCAGGGATAATCCAAAAATTGAGTTGATGGGGTTGAAGAATGACATCAGAAGAGATTTAATGATCAATGTGTCAATTGCTAAGGTTGGTAGAGCTAAGCGTAAGGCAAAGGATATGATGCTTGGCACGGACATGGAGCAGTATCAAAAACTCTGGAGTTATGCCGCCACCGTCCGAGACACAAATGCTGGAAGTACTATAAAAATTCAGATTGACAAAGCACCTGATGGTTCAACAGGTATATTTCAAAGGTTATATTATTGCTTGCATGCCTGCAAGCAGGGTTTTCTTGATGGTTGTAGACCAATAATTGGTCTAGATGGCTGTTTTCTTAAGACAGCATTTGGTGGACAATTATTGTCAGCACTTGGCAGAGATGGCAACGATAACATGGTGCCAATAGCAATTGCAGTGGTAGAGGTAGAGCGGTATGACTCCTGGAAATGATTTTTGGAGTTGCTAATGGCTGATTTGGGCATGGGAAGAGATAACATTCGTTGGACCTTTATCTCAGATAGACAGAAAGGGCTTGTGCATGCCGTCAATGAAGTGTTTCCAGATTCAGAACATAGATTTTGTTTGAGGCATATGTACCAGAATTTTAACCAAAGGTTCAAAGGAAAAGAAATGAAAGACATGTTTTGGGTTGCTGCAAGTGCTGGCAATGAAAAGGAATGGAAAGTGGCAATGATTGAACTAGAAAAGGCAAACAAAGAAGCTGCTGACTGGTTGAGCAGAATTCCACCAACTCTTTGGAGTAGATCACATTTTACAGGATGTAGTAAATGTGACATTCTGGTAAACAATCTAAATGAGTCATTCAACAACTACATATTAGAAGTAAGAGAGTTACCTATCATTGGGATGCTTGAATGGATAAGGAGGAGATTGATGCAGAGAATTTAAACAAAGAGATCTGGAATGCAAAAGTTTCAAGGAGAAATCTGTCCTAATATAGCAGAAAAGATTGACAAGAATCAGAGGTTGAGTAGGACATTTGTTGCGACCTGGGATGGGGGTCACAAGTATGAGGTTGACTGTGGTGTGAGAAAATGTGTAGTAGTAGACTTGAAAAACTGGACATGTACCTGTGGGTATTTTCAATTAACAGGTTATCCTTGTGCCCATGCATGTGCTGCGATAGGAGTGTGTAGATTACCTATAAAAAATTATGTGCATACTTGCTACACTAGAGCTGAATATCTGAAAATATATGCACATACTATCACACCTGTTCCAAGTGATATTTACTGGATAACTTGCGAAGAAGAGGCCATAAACCCCCCTGTGGTTAGGAGAATGCCTGGTAGACCAAAGAAACTGCGCCGAAGAGCGCAAGATGAGCCTAAGAAGGGTCAAGTATCAACTAGAAAGGGTCTTGTGGTACATTGTAAGAGATGTTTTCAGCCACGGCATAACTCACGGACGTGCAAGAATCCCATTCACCCTAACTCCAAATTTTATAAGGTAATTTTCCTTATACGCTTAAATGTCATTGTTATAGTATCTGTATGTTTTAACAATGTTAAATGGCATTTATAGGCACCTGAAGCAAGCGCAGCTGAATCCATTCAATCACAACCAATTGCTGAGTCGTCCACTCAACCACAGCCAATTAGTGAAGGAGCTGCTGGTACTCGAAGTACTACAAAGAATGGAGGTAACAAGGCTGATGGCACCACTGCAACAGTAAAAAGAGCCAGAGCTCCAATTGTTACTGATGTCCTGCGGAAATTAAGGCCAAAGAGATCAAAAGCCTAAGAAGGTTTAATTACCTGCCAGAATAGTGGCCTAGCCGTAGTTAGAATAGCTTTTGGAATATTTGTAGTTGCTGAATGAAACTGAACATTTGGTGAATCTATGTTCTGGGAACAGATTTTGGGTTGAAGTTCTTGGCAACCACCAGATTAATGTTATGTGATATGGGTGATGTGATGTTGTAGTTGCTGAATGAATCTATAACATTTGTTGTATATCTCTTCTGGGAACAGATTCTGTGAACAGATTTTGGTGTCTGTTATGTGAAATGGTAGCTTTAATCATTTTTTGTCTTCTTTTTCGGTCAACTATATAAGTTATAGTTGCTGAATGAATCTGGAAACATTTGTTGTATATTTCTTCTGTGAACAGATTTTGGTGTCTGCTATGTGAAATGGCAACTACATTTATTTTTGGCTTCTTTTTCTGTCAACTATGTAAGTTGTAGTTGCTGAATGAATCTGGAAATTGGTAAGATGATGGCATCCCACAATTCTACGAGCCGATATTTCTTTCCAAATTTCAAGAATTGTGTAGTTTTTCAATTGGGAAGCGGTAAAATTGGTAAGATGATTTGTAGTTAGAACTTTGAATTGAACTTTTGGTCCAACACTGACCATTATTCGGTTGGTAGACATCAAACAAAACACCACCGGAAAAGATAACATAACACAAAACTCCAACTAGTACTTGCTGCAATTCTGTTCATTTTCAAGACACTTGCTCAAATGCAGATTACCAAACAAAACTCCAAATTGCTTATTTCGTTCATTTTTTGGGGTTTTCAAAATGCAGATTGCCAAAACAAAACTCCAAAATACAGATTACCAATTTCGTTCCTTTTCACTGCAAGAAAAAGCCAAAACATCAACAACAGCCTACCAACTAGCAATTTCAAGTTCTTCATTTCATTGTCCAAATTTTCCAGTTTTGAGAGCACGCCACCCAAATACGAATTTTCTTGAACATGCTGGCTCACTACGGGGACAGGTGCATCTCGATCTGGCTCGTCTCTGTAGATTGGACTACACCATGAAAAGAACCGACATTCATATTTTTCACACACAAAATACAACATTCCTTTCGATGGCTTTTCCGACTCAACAATCTTTAGCTTCGCCTTCCTTCCACAATTACATATCTTATACTGGTATCGTAGACCTCTAGCTCCGTTTCCGCCGCTGGTTGTTCGAGAGCTTGAGGAAGACATCGATTCTCCACTTTCCTGCAATTCCTTTGCTGGCTTGCAACCTCTGCTTGATTGATTACTCTCGATGTATGGAAATCGTTCAATTTTGGCTGAAGCCGAGCATATTAGCTGAAAGAATTAAAGTCAATGAAGGCCGAGCCTTCAATTTTGATGTCTCCCTCTTTTTATTAAAGTCACTGAAGGGTAACGAAGGCATATCAGCTGAAAGTTTGTGGTAGAAATCTCTTGTCCGCAAGAAACACGCGCATTTCCAGTGCATTTAAGTCAAACGCGGTACATTTGATGGTTTCCGTCGAATTTTCACAATAATTCAAAGTATGGGGTATCGACGTGTATGATATGAAACCAGAGGGGGTTTTTTTGTATGATAGCTATACCACATGGGGTTTTTTTGTTGTTTACCCTTCTTTTTATCTTCATGTATTCAGGAACAAGGCCTTATTCACCGGTAAAATTTCTAATTTGTTTAGGTTTTTCTTTTACCCTGAATCAGTAGAGTTGTTAGTGACTTGGGTAGGTTACTAGTAACTGGTTGAACACACCCTTAATTCTCTTGTCCAAATTATTTGGAATTCGGCATTGTAACCTTGATTTTTTGTACAACAATCAAATTGCTAATGATTTGAGGCTTTAACAAATTACAATTAGGTTGATTCCAGTTATTAATAACCCATGGTTATTTACTATAAAAAAAGAAAACCCTCACTCGTAACTTCTTATTTTCAACAAAAATTTGGGTCAGTAGTGATTTGGGAAGCCAAATTATTTTTTTAGTAACTAACGAAAATTTTGAAAATTATTAGTACATAATACAAAATTTTGCAAATCTGGAGGGGTTCATTACCCATTGATTACATTTGAAGAGTCAAATCATGTAAATATCCAAAGCCGTAAACTGAAACCTCACACAACGAGGAGGAGCGGTTTGGAATGTGGGTGAGTGTTAAAAAAAGAGAGATTTCCGACAATTTTCTTCAAATTGGGGGGCGGTTTATAATTTCTTCCAAATCCAACTAAGTAATTTAATTTATATAAATGCCCCAAAAACTCTTCATTTCATCCTACTACTACATTCGTGATGCTACTAATTACTAATAATTACTGCTAAATTCAGCTGCAGCGTAGGTTAAAAAAAAGGAGCAAAATGTCCTCTATGCTACATGGAGGAAAGTGCTTCGTCTTCATCTTCGTCTTCGTCTTCGTCTTCTTCTTTCTTCGCCAAATCCCTTGAATTGAAATCGTATTTATAATATAATATATTGTTAATTTTCTTCTTTATCATCTCTTTTACGATTAATCGAAGCCTTAAAAGCCCTAAACCCTAAAAGAACAGAAATCGAAATATTAGGAATGGATTTTCAGCAGCCTCATGGGTATATGAGACCTCCGCAACCGCCGCCGTCGATGGCAGCAGATCCCTACCACCATCACCACCCCCACCACCAAGCGCAGAGATTGCCGGTTCCTCCACCTAACCCTTGGTACTCGACTCAATTTCAGTACCAGCACTCTACTCCTCCGCCACAACCACCACTTCCTCCTCCTCCTTCTCATGTCCCGCCGCCGCATCAGCAGTGGCCACCACCGCCGCCACCACCACAACCACCACATTCCGATCATTTGGCTCCCGCTCCTCCTTATCCTACGCCACATCCGCTTCCAGTCAACCAATACCCTCCTCCGGTTCCTCATCCGCATGCTTCTCTTCCGCCTCGGCCGCATGTTCCACCGCCTCAGATTCCCCAGTCGTATTCCCAGGTCAATCAGGTATTCCTTCAATCCATAATGTATAGCTTTACATTTCTTTTCTTTTTCCCCAATCTTTGACAGGTGGGGTGTGTGTTGTTTTAGCCGTAGCTGTATTTTTCTTTTGTTGATTCATTGTACGGAGGATGAGTAAATATATAAGGGGATTAAAGTGTGATAAATAATCATCTCGGTTATTTTTAATCTGAACACAGGAAATGGAGCACTAGTAATGTCTTTTGGCTTATGACCAAATTCATGCGCTACACTCTCTCCATTTCTGTGATTAACAAGTTCAGAAGTTGGAAACAGGCTAGATTCATTACGTTTATCAGGCAGTTGATGTAAAAAGGGGGGAAAATGAGATTATTCCACTTAGTTGATTGATTTTTCCATTTAGTTGTTATACAAGAGCTTAGAATGGGTGAAGGAGGAACTTATATGAGCAAATATACCTTCGTGGTGGTTCATAGGAAGTGGCAGCATTAAGTGATAAAGGATAACAATGTGATTAGAAAGGTTTCTGTGAGAAAAAGAAAATGAGGATGATTTGGAAGAATTTGAACATGGTTCACAAATAAGTAAAAGATGGAAATCAGCTAACATGAGTTCCTATTTTGCCAAGGTTTTCCTGCATTCAAATTCTCCATATAAACTAGGGATTGGCTTAAGATGTGTATAACAGTATAAGAAAGGGCGTTGGTTTCCTTTCTTCTCCCAAATGAGGGAATACATGTGAATCTAGTCATAGCATCATCACCACCACCACCACCACCACCACTATCATCATCATCATCATTATTGTTATTATTATTATTATTGTTGTTGTTGTTGTTGTTGTTGTTGAAGTTAAAGTTATTGTTTTTGTAATTTTAAAATTTAGAATCATAAAGGAAATGATATTATGCACCTTTCTTGTTCAACTGTACTCCATGTGGTTGCCTCTTTAAAATTGAATTCCTTTTTTATCCTAAAATCAAGTACTTGATAGTTTTCAATGCTAGCCTTTTTCTGTTCCTCATATTGAGTGGTTCTTAAATGGAATTTGAAATTTCTTCTAGAATTTGAGGGATTTCGGGCTATACTGTTCTTTAGCCAGTAAAATGAATTTAATATCCATTGAGGGAAAGTACAGTTTGTTCTGATACGTATGCATGCAAGGAAAATGCAATGGTGCCTTTTCTTTTTAGAGCTTTACTTTTGTAAGCAAAAGACCATTAGGTGGACAGAGAGCTTGGCTTGCTGTAGTTGTGGATTGTTGCTATTCATTTTTAGTTACTGGATTATATAATCCATCTACTATTATGTAGTTTTGGTGAATTATATTACAGGTGTTATAGATTATACATCTATTACAATGTTCTATGTGCTTGTAGGAGTGGGGGACTGCTAATTGGGGTCATCATCAAAGTTGGGAGTATCAAGGTAAGCAAACATCTGTTATTTATTTTCATATTGATTGGCTTCTTGCCTCTGGTCTTTTGTTACATCATCCCGTTTAACTTGTCTGGTAATAAGTGACTGAAAAAGATGAAAACATGTTTCTCTGCATGGTCTATTTATTTTGTACTTGCCATGTTGGTGTTGGACATGCTAGGCGAGGCTACTTCACTTTTATTTAGCTCCTGTAGAAAAGTTGTTGGTTCTGATGTACATTGCCAGTTTAAAATTTTTAATGAAGCTTGAATTGTACTAGATTTAAGGGTGATTTTTGGATCCTGTGGCTCTTAATTGCCGTATTAATCTGAATTCAACAAAGATGTCATAATTCCTCTTCCCTTTCAAATAAAAGTAATAAATGAAATGCTTGGCTGTTTTGGCCTGCAGTTTACTTGTCATAATGATATGATGTGATACATTGTATTTCTCAAATTGTAGCTCATACCAATGAAGAAATTTGGGCTGCCAAGGCCCGGGCATGGGCAGCTGCTAAAGCTGCATCAGACAACCAGCAGCCTCAGCAGTTACCATATGCTTTTCAAGATGGAACTGGAGATTCAGCTGCTGTGTTTCCTGGACGAGATTCTTCTATAAGTCCATCGGTCCATCAGCAGGAGGTACCTTCTAGTTATTCTTCTATTGCAGGTAAAAGAACAATTAACACACTGCTTTTGCACATGAAGCTTCTAATTTGAGAATTGCTTCTATGTGTGTTGGCTTTACTAGTAGCATACATGCATAATGCTTCTGACAATCTTCATTTCTTTATTTGAGCTTTTAGTTTATGACTTACACGGACATCAATCTTCTTTAATTATACGGGATACATTTTCTCCTAG